GGAGGAGGAGGAGGAGGAGGAGGAGGAGGTAGTAGTGGTGGTGAGGATCCAACTCCCATCGGCTTGATGATCCGCGACTTCCACCGTGGTATTCAAGCGAATGAACTCGGCGAGGTGAAAGTGTTCCACGAAGCGTTGGAAGTAGGTGTGGATGACTCCGCCCGGGATGTGCTCCCCCGGTTGGACCCCGTAGGTGGCGGGGTCCATTGGGAAATCGGAGAATTCATAGGTGCCCAGCAGATTGTTGGATTTGAGGCCCTCGTAGAGACGATGCGTGGCCCAGACGCCCCCGATGGAGGCGCTGTTGTCGAGGCACAGGATGCGGGCATTGGGGTGGACTTGGTGGTAGGTTTTGAGGGCGGCGAGGCCGTGCCAGCCTGTTCGCATTAGCATGCTGAATGGGGGGTAATTGGTCATAGAACTGTTGGGAATGATACCTGCTCCGACAATAATCACATCAACCGACTCCATCGCGAGATTCAGTGCAATGCAAAGTGTGTAGCAGCGCAGCGAGAAGATAAATACCACCGCGCTGAGCAAACCGTTACACCCCGACCAACCCCTTACGTGGCCCCAGCGCGATAAATAGGCTAATAGTCTTCCCCTCTTCGGAAATTAATTGCAACATTTCCGGTGCTCCGCAACCCAGCCATCTATCTAGTCAAGGAACTAACCTGGCTGGTCCCTAGTTCAGTGTCTGGTTGCTCCCGCTTAGGGTTCAACTCCACCAGTGGATCCCTGGCCCGCGACCCAAACTTTCGCCAAGGTTCTTGACAGGTCCAGGGCCATTGTTGGTTCGGCTCGGAGCTTTTTAGGAATCGATATATCGATTTCCATGTGAGACAGAGTTCTTCCGAGTCCGATTTGTCATGATTCCCATAGTTACTCCGTAGATCGATTCATTTTTGAGTCGGTAGGCTGCTAGTAATTAATCGTGAGGGTTGCTGCAAGTGGCCGACGATCGCTGCCCCGTCCACTAATAGGATGGGACCTTCCCGGTACCGAAATTACGGCGATGGTCGCTCGCTTGCCTGCATCGTACTTCTGCAGGAGAGAAGACACGGGCCAGCGCTGTTGCTGGATGATTATTTAATAGTCGCTGCTACCTTTTGACGTATGTAGATCGTCAAATTTCCCTCTTTTCTTGTGTGGTGGATTCAGTGTGGTATGGCTGACGACTTCGTAATCGAGGCATTCACCCTCCTCGCCATCGCCATCACGGCGATCATCTTCCGCGTCGTCGCACGATGGGTCACGGCGGGGCCGAAGAATCTCATGCTGGATGATTATCTGATGCCCGTGGCGGGGGTACGTTTATCCCTTTGATGATGGTATGGTTGCTGATGAACAGGTGGTGTATGGTCTCGAGACCGGGGCGGCGTACTGCGTCAGTGCGTGGTGGATGGGACTGGCCAATAATTCCATGACGGCGGCGGAGCGCGCAGCGCTGTCGCCATCGTCGCATGAATACCATCTTCGGGTGGGAGGGTCGAAAACACAGGTGCTGGGGTGGTCGTTGTATACGACGTTGTTGTGGTTGTTGAAGACTTGTATGGCGGTGTTTTATTCCCGATTAACGTACCTCCCATCCCATCCTTCACTTCGGTACAGGAGTACTAATGGAATAGGGCCGGTTTGATCAACATGCACCTCCGCATCCGCATTGCGTACCTCGTCATCGGAGTCACCTACATCGCTGTCATTCTCAGCATCCTCCTCGGCTGTCACCCCCTGCACAAGAACTGGCAGATTAACCCCGACCCCGGGAATTACTGCCAACCGGCCGTCTCGCATATCGATGTTTATGTGACGGTCACGTTGAATGTTGCGACGGATTTATATCTCATTTCGATTCCGTTTCCTGTATACCCCCCTCCCCCCCTACACCTCATTTCATATTCAGATGTTGAACTAGGATAGATCCTCTTCAAAGCGCGTCTCCCTTGGCGTGAGAAACTCGAACTCATCGTTCTTTTCTCCGGGGGGTTCTTTGTCATGGCGGCGGGGATACTTCGCTGCGTGTTGATCGTTACGGTACCTCCCATACCCTATACCCTACCACCACCCCACCCACCCACACCAAATACACTAACAGGGGGACATGCAAAGGCCGGAGCCAACGGCGCCGCCCAAGCCGGCCGGTGGGCATGCCGCGAAACCTTCGTGGCCATGATCATCGGCAACATCCCGATGATCTACCCACTGTGTCGTCGTCTCGCCCGTCGCGCGGGCCTCTACATCTCCACGAAAGGCGGCGCCAGCTCGCAAAGTTACCCGTTATCTGAAGGCACGGGAGATCTACACTCCAGCGAGAATAGTAAGAATCGACGCCGCAAGTTCCGTCATCCGTTGTCGTTGCCGGATACGCAGTGGGGGACGGTGAGTGATGAGGTGGGGATGTTGGCGACGGTGAGGGAGTGGGAGGGGGTTGGTGTAGGGGATGGGGGGAGTGTGAGTGTGGATGGGAGGAGTGGACGGAGTGTAGGGGATGCAGGAGGGGGGATTAAGGTGGTGAGGGAGACGATTGTTAGTCGGTGAGATACTTTATTTATTCTCTGGTTAGGGTTTCTTTGTTGAGGTACGCTGTTTTGGGATATGGATGATGGATGGGATAGATATGCTTGACGGATACCATACCATCCCTAACTCAATCATGATACCTCCATCACTGCCTACACCAATAACCCCCTTCTCCCCCCCTCTGCACCACACACACCCCCAACTACCAGAGAAACAGGTTACTCCTCAACTCGGCTCACCTCCTTCCCCTCCCCATCCTCCTCCACCACAATCCTCTCCCTCTTCAACGACGCCTTGACCGGATTCTTCTCCTGAAAGATGACCGTCAACTCCTCCAACGTACGCTTACTCGTCTCCACAAACAAAAAGTAAATCACAACCACCTCCATGGTATCCCAGAAAATAAACAAAAAGTAATATTTCCATCCCGCACCGGTGAACGCAATGCCCGTGACGAAGGTATTGTAGAATGAGGCGATGTTGACGAAGAACTACCATCCCCATCAATACCAGATTAGTATAGATTCACCCAGGGTATAGGGAGGAATGAACGTACATTATTCATCCCCATCCCCTTCGCCCGACTCTCATACCGCAAACACTCGACCGGATACATCGCCTGATTGGGCGTCCAGCCAGCCGAATACACAAACCCGAAGATGAAAATCATGGCGATTTGCGCGCGCGCCGTGACGGAGCTTTTGGCGATGGGGGTACCGTCTGGGCCGTCGACGACGTTGGTTGCATTCAGGGCGGTGACGATCACGAAGAGGATGACTACGATGGTGGTACTGGTGAGGAGTTGGGTGCGACGACCGATGCGGTCGGTGATGAGGGCGCCGAAGATGGCCCCGAGAAGCGAGACGACGTTTTGGAGTCCTTGGAGCAGGAGTTGGGTGTTGTTGCTGGTGACCCCGGCGCCGCGCAGCATCTGTGGGTAGTAGTAGCTGACTGGGCCGTTGCCGGACCATTGGCCGAAGATTGCTACCATCATTAGCATTTGGATGAATGAAGAGGGAAATGGAGGAGGCAGGGGGGGAGAGGGTACCCATGATAATTACCAACATGGACCGATACCGTACTTCCCGGGTATTAAACAACTCGCGATAATCCCACCAGCGCTTATCGGATCCAGTCTGGGAAATATCCTCGATCATCTGATGGTATTCCAGTTGCACGATGGGCGAGTTCCGATCGCCTTCGCCGTGGTAGTCCGCTAGGACTTTCAAGGCGGCGTCGTGTTTGTCGCGCGAGATGAGCCAGCGGGGACTCTACATACCAGTATTGTTAGCCTTGCCCTAATCATCATGCCCATCATGAACAATTAGGAAAGGGATAGGGAGGGTTACCTCCGGAATAAACGGACAAAACACCAAGACCAACCCCGAAAACACCATCTGGAGCCAGATGGGAATCCGCCAACTCATCGTCCCCTCGAGTTGGCTGGTGCGCCACGGGATGAATGTTCCCGGGATACCACCACCGAACCATAGCACATTGTAGAGACCCGTCATGGCGCCCCGGTAGGCGGGATGGGCGATTTCCGAGACGTAGGCTGGTCCGGCGGTGGCGGAGATGGCGACGCCGAATCCCAGGATGAAGCGACCGCCCATGAACCCGCCGAGGTTGTGGCAGGTCGCTTGGATGATGGTGCCGACGATGATGAAGATGGCGCCGAGGGCCATGCCGACTCTTCTTCCTGTAAACCCGGTAAGTGGCTGGGGAATATTGGGCAGGGGATGGGAAGAGGGTATGGGGGCACCTTTGAAATCAGTGAATGGACCGGCGCAGAACGAGCCGACGATGTTGCCGATGGTGTAGATGGCATACACGATACCCGTAGACGGCGTACCGTTATTCGGGTCGAAGCCAAAGTAATCACGGTACTGGGCATAGCTGTTAATCGATCCCATCAGGGATCCATCGTAGCCGTTGATGCAGGAGTTGAGAATGGCCACGGCGATGCAGCAGTACAGCTGAATCCATCGTTAGATGAATTAACGACACAGAAAAGAAGGAATCACCTTGAACATGCTCTTGGTCCATAGCGATGGCTTCTCAAAGGTGGTCACTGCCAACGCCGTATTGGCCACCCCCTTGACGGGCACATCGGTCTCGACGTGAACACTAGCGTCTGGTTTCTCCATGGTGAGTTTGGTTGATGAGATGGATCAGAGGGACTTACGAGGATTATATACACCGTGGCCGCTGGCAAGGGGATGGATGCAACGGTAATATGGCGGGAGAATCTGATAGGATGGCTGATGCAGCAAGGGTGTTGCCCCGTATCCAAACGGGAATAGAGAATCCGGGGTATGTCTACTAGTGAGTGGTTCACTGGTGTGTGGGCTGACCGGACCCTAACCAAGCTCAGCTCAGCTAGCAGCTTACTCCGGAGTACGGCCCGACGTGCCGTGCTCAGTAGGATCCGGGGTAATAAAGATGAACCTAAGCGATGTCCATGCATCGCAGATGACCCATCCAGCGTCCACCACTGCGAGAGCTCAATGCTATAATTCGCGAGGTATATCCCCACTGCCACATGGACCCTCGCCAGGTGCTCCTAGCCTTCTCGGGTGGGCGCACCGTGCTCGGGCATCCACTGCCCAACCCAGAACCAGAGCCTATGAGGGTCTGGCTACTGCAGGGTCGAGCCTAGGCACATTGTCTCCACGTGCTCCACATGATATTACACTACCATAACATACACACATACACAGACAGATACACACACTCACACCCCAGCAATTAATCCCTCCCTCTCCTCCGCACTAACATACAAACTCAACGTATAATACCTCCCCTCAATAATCTCCGACTCACCCCTCCCCTCCAACCCACCCCCCAGAACCACCCTCGCACCCCCCCGAAACGGTCTCGCCACCCACACCCCCTTTCCCTCCCGATCCGCCCCCGTCCACGCCGTCTCCGTACACGACATACTACTCCCATACAGCAAGGGATTAAACCCATTACACACCGCCTCGGGGATATGCAGCACGTGGTCGAGCGTGATGGTGTGCGTATCGAAGGGGTTGTCGAGACTCCGCACCACGGGGATCTGCACGGTGCCGATGCCGGCCACCTGGAGCTCTTCGGTCGGGTTGAAGATGTTGTTTTTGAGACGCAGGGTGACCGGCCGGTAGGTTGTGAAGTGGGCGCGGTCGCGCGCGTAGTGCACGTTGCCTTGTACGATCATCCAGTCGTGGCAGAGGCGTTGGGAGGAGGGGAGGGAAGGGGCGCAGGTGCGTTTCCGGGCGGGGGAGGTAGGCGGGCTGAGAGGGCGGGTGGTCATGATGCTGCAGGGTAAGTTGGTGATGGGGTGGTGGGTTCTGTGGTCTGTGTGGTGAGCTGAGGGGTTAGTGGATGTGATGGCGTGATGGGGGTAGCAGGGGTGTCTCACTGGTTAATTGGTCGGTAGGGACTGAAGTCAATTGAGTAGAGGTGGGTTTGGAAGAATCAAGAATGAGATGAGGATATTCAAAATGAGTCGAGAACCAGACTTGACGCGCCGGATGGGGATGTCTGGCAGTATGTCTGGGCGGTGGGACTGTCACCGCCTACGCTAGCTAAGCTGGTTGAGATCGGGGATCTCTACTTCGGTTAGTGCATAGTACACAGATAGTATAAGCGACGCAAGTTTCTCCGCGGAAATACTCCGTATCACGGCTATAATTAGCTGCCACCGATCGATCGACCGATCATCGGTTGGTTAGAGGCAGCGACTGTGCACACTGGAATGATTGTTTTTCTCAGTGAATTCAGAATTTGCCAGTTGAGATCACAAGTGCTGCTATTACCGGAGCTGCTGGAAACATTACTCGACGTAGGCGTAGTCTGTGAATTCACACTGGTGAACCAATTCATCCACCAATAATCTTCCGGACTGTACCATAGTCCAACCTCATGGACCGAATATTTTTAGCTAAGCAGTGGCTGCTGCATCACATAATAGCTCAGCGATAGATTCAGCGCTGTACACTGTTCCACCTCATCAAACGGCGCCTGATACGGCGGCCACTGGAACCGTCTCAAGCTATAATCCCCCTCTTTCAACGGACGCCATGCACCACTCTCTTGCACCACCCGACTGGTATTTGCATATCCCCGCGCCTGCAGCAACGCCAGATCCGGCGTCGGACTCCCCGTGCGAATAAAACTGGCCCACGAGTCTAGCACATACTGCTCAAACGGCAGCTCGTACTCATCCCGGAAGGGCTGATTCAGCCGGCGCAGATTTCCAAACATGTAATATAGATCCCCTGAGTGGCATTTATAGTACTCCAGCGATGGATCGCCGTGTGGATACGCCGTCGTCGCAGGGGCATAGCATACATGTCCATTAGGATCCTGTGATGCGAGTTCGTACGATCGGTTGAACTCGTAAAAGTACACCTCGGGGAAGATGTGGTTCGTGACACCGGCATACCCGGTCGCTTCATCGATGCATCGGAACATGCTGTCGGTTCCGATGCGGGCGGATGTGTTGAAGATGTCTAGTGTAGCATTGGGTCCAGCGGCATTAGGGAAGAGACCGGTTGTCAGGACGGATGCGGGGAGGTCATTTTCCGTCAAGAAGGTGCTGATGTTTTCGCCGGCACTGGGATAGTCGATGAACGCGGCGCCATCGTCTCGCATGATACCCATCATGACAGGCACATGAGGGGTGTCTGTGGAGGGACTGAGGTCCAGCTCAGGACTGGTCAGATACGTTCCGTCCACGACCAGGTACCGTGCTGTTGTATCGAGGGCTGTAATGGCGCTGGCCGTGTAGTTTCTGAGACAGTCGACCGGAGATTCTGCGACCGTGCAATTGGTCTCCTCCAGGATGGGCTCGCCCGCCACTTGCATTTCCTCGTCGATGGTATAGTATTGGGAGTAGGTCGTGCCATAGGCAAGGCCACCCAGGTTGCTTTGCATGATGGCTCGGGCAAACTTGCCCTTGGCCTTGGGAGAGGCAAGCAAGGCCCGTACGGAGGCTGCTCCGGCGGATTGGCCGAAGATGGTGATGCGGTCGGGGTCGCCTCCAAAGGCTTCGATATTCTGACGCACCCAATCGAGAGCTGCAACCTGGTCGGCCAGACCAAAGTTCCCGTTGGTTTTGCCATCGTTCAAAGCGAGAAAGCCCAGGGTACCGAGACGATAGCTGATTCCTACCACCACGACGTCACCTCGGGAGGCCAGGTTGCCGCCATCATAGTAGGCGTCGTTAGGGCTTCCCCCGGTAAAGGCGCCCCCGTGGATCCAGAATGCCACTGGCTTCAACTTTTTCTTCTCGGGATGGGTTGGTAAATACGGCGTCCAGATATTCAGGATGAGACAATTTTCCTCGTTCCCACGTGCGTCACGATGGCAGTTCGAGCCATATTCCAAGACCGATAGATTTCCACCTGTTCCGGTATATGGCACCGGATACGTCCATCGTTGCTGTTCGGTAGCAAAGCGAACCCCGATGAAGCGAAACGTGACGTGGTCTCGGAAGCTGTCTTGTGAGCGACGTCTTGAGACTCGGAAGAGGGTTCTCACCCTGTCAGGGACTCATTATTGGCATGGACGGTGACTTGGTATGGGCTGCTCGTGTTCTGATAGTCTTCTGTTGAGTAAGGGGCGGTCTGTGTGCAGAGGACGGGAAATCGACTGTTGCCGTCTGCCGTCGCAATGGTTCCCTCCAGATCAATCGTTCGGGAATTGTTGTTAGTCGGGGATATCCAGAACCGCTGCTGACTCCCGTAGTCCCCTCGGTACAAGAGATATTCCAGATCGGCTGTGATGTCAGCTGGGGTGGATGGCGGGCTCCCCCAGAGTGACTCCCCGAGTGTTTCACAGGCCTGACTTCCTTCCGTCCAGGTCTTGTCATCCAAAAGGATCACCCCGGAGTTTGCCAACGAACTTTCAGCCTCTAGTCACTGTCAGCACCATTCGCAAAGATATCAAGTCATCGCAATACCTAACAAATCATTATGCAGCAGAATCTCCACGTCCGACTCCAAAGACGCAGGCCCCACGGCCAGACCCGAGGCCGCAAAAAGCAGACACAGTAAAGGACGCATTTTGACCGCCCTCTGTTCGGCAACATGCATCTTCCCCGTCCATTTTATGTGGCACGCGGTGGATAACGTCGCATTGGCTGCACGGTGACAGTGCCTTGTTGAGGGTGGGATCTATTGGTGGATTGGATTTTCGCGTGGTTGACAAACCCCGCACGGGGTTTTTCATGGATTCGGTCGAACAACAGCCCGAACGAGCTTACTGTCTTCTTCCGACTTGTTATTCGACATGAAGGAGAGATATGGGATAAGAGGTAGGACTAGATCACCTGACATGAAGATACTGCCGATGCTGCAACCACATCAACATCCTGCCCAGTCAATGTCCTGCGACACCACGGATGCGTTGTCGCAGTTAGGTGAACCACCACATCAATGCTAAATTTCGGGTTAAGAGTCCAACTGCGACGACACCGAGAAGCGCGACGCAGTCCATCGAGCGCCATCGCCGCGCACACGCATGGTCGGACACTGCCATAGCTGAGAATCTCTCTCATTGAAGCTGTTGAACGGTGTTGATATGCTGACCATGAATTGAAATCACAGAGAACCCGATACGGGATCTATTGTGCAATAATTTGCAAGCATAGAGTGGGGGGCGGAGATTATGCCTTTGCATCAGTGTTGTTCCACCGAGGGAAGGACAAGCAGGAATCGAGAGACGAGATGAAGTCGTTTGCATCATGACCAGACTCAGAGATTCGAAGTGCTGTTTCCATTGCTGGTAGTGAACTATCTGCATTGACAAGCGATGTGTGCTTACAGAGCACACGCGCTCTGAGTTCCGTGTCTTGCAAATGGCTCGGTAACCAGGTCACACCTCAAGGGCATTTCCATTCGCCATCTGCGACACATTATAATAGCCTGTCCAGTCATGCCACTCACTGCGGAATCCATTTCCCTCTTGCAAGTTTCTCGCCTTTAAATAACATAAATTCACTGCCACGTGTTGAATGCTACGTCCTAAGTGTCGTGCTCCAGGATGAAACCCCTTATATCCCAAGTGACCCTACATCATCGGAGAACACCTTTGATTCAAGCTCGTTGCATGGCAAGTACAATATTATCTAGCATCACTCGCAAGTGAAAGAGGTCATCTTTCACATGAGACAGGGGAAAGCCCAGTATCTCTACCTTCTTCCATGTCCAACATCTTTATTCTCCCATCCACACCCACCTCTCAGACACAAAAGACGATGACTTGTGATACCTTTCCATATACTCACCTCACCACACAAGCCACTAAGAGACATGAACCACATCTACTGCCTAAACCCCCTCCCTCTCCCTCCCCCATCTCCTCCCCCTCCACCACAACCCCCAACCTCGCCAGGTGTAACATATTCTCCAAATGCAAGGCACTCAACGGCGTCTCCCGCACCATAAGCACCAAACTTCCTCCCCTCTTTAATACACACGTCCCCGGCCCGGGCGATCAAATCCTCCCCATACCCCATGCGGATCGCAGCGAGGGTCTTCATCATGCAGGGCGCGATGATCATTCCGTCGTGCGGGAAACTGCCGCTGCTGGGGGGGGGGGGGGGGGGGGGGGGGGGCGCGGAGAGGTCCCGTGGACTGTGCGTGTGGGTGGCGAGGGTGGTCAGGTCGGTGGGGGTGTAGGGTGTTTCGTAGGTGAGGGTGCTGAGGGCCCATTTGGAGAGGATGAGGTGCGTGGTGATATTTAGGTTGTGCAGGGTTTGGAGCGTGCGGATGCCGTAGATGGAGCCCGTCGCGCCGGTGAGGGCCAGGATGAGGCGGTTGTGCCGGAGGTTGGGTTGGTGGGGGGTGTTGGTGGGGGGGTGGTTGTGTAGAGGCGGGGATGGAGGGGTTGTACTCGGAGGAGTTGAAGGGGAGAGTGTTGGCGAGGTGGGAGGAGTTGTTTGGGAAGAAGTGAAATGATGCCACTGGAGGGGTAAGACTGGATGAATCTGGGTTATTCCCATGAGTATTCCATTTCCAGTAATGACTTGGTGACGTCTTCTGCGTCTTGGTTGTCAGCATGGGCGATTCGGAAGGGTACCGCTCTCCAGGCCCCGTATGATGTGGTAGGAGCTATGCGGGGAAATAAAGTACACGGTGGATCGACCATGGGGTTTACCGCCAAGCGGGTCTGTCTCAGCCACACCATTCGACGCTGACTTGACTAAATAGACATGGTTGGGCTGAGAAGATTCGGACTGGCCAACTCTGGTATTTACAAGGCAGCAAAAACACTGATTTGCGAGTGATAGTGCTATTCGGTGACAATTGCTCAATCATAAACATTAGCTCATTTTTTAGGTGAGATAATTGGTTGGCTCCGTCGCTTGACCCCCGCTTAAGTGGATGCTAGTACTATACCAGTAGTGCTATGTACTTTTGGTCCCCTCTGTAGAGCTGCAGAATCGCCACTCCGCGTGCCTGTTTCTGTATGACAAGAAGAATAATGCAGGAAAGGATGGAAAATGGCATTTCAATGTAGCGTAAGGCGGGCAGCCGATAGGTACGCGTCGGACTTCCCCATGCGGCGATCCGGCGACTTCCAGCGAGTCACCTACATCCATAGTAATACCTAGGTAATAAGCATCCTATCCCAGGTTAGTGCTTACCCACCGTCCATGGCCCTCGGGGAGATCTGACGATGTTCGGGGACTATTTATCCCCGCCTCCGCCCAGGGGTTCCGCCCCTCTGGCTCCACAGCTTTGCACCATGGTCGATCCATTCATCCCGCACTTTCGCTCCATCGGCCAGAATATCCATCTCCATGAACCGACATCCACTCCATCTGATACCCACCCCGCCTTGATCATCCTCTGCACCTGGTTTGGCGGCGCCACCCCCCGCCGCATCGCCAAATACACCACCGCCTATCGCGAGCACTATCCCGGTGCTGCGATTGTGCTCCTGAACACATGCTTTCGGGATTATCTGGCCCGGTCGTTTCAGACCATTGATCCGAATCTCACGCCTGCTAGAGAATTGATCACCCGGGTGTTACACGCCAACCGCGATGCCTCTGTGCTGTTGCACATCTTCTCCAACGGGGGGTGTAACACCGTCACTCAGCTGGCGCGATCCATGACGACGGCCACCGGGGTGGATTTCAGATCCGCCATCAAGTTGATGGTTTTTGACTGTTGTCCGGGTGATGCCTCATTCCAGCGATTTTACGGCGCTGCCGCTGTGGCGCTCCCGGCCACCCAGCCTGGGCGGGCCATTGGAACCATAATCCTCTACCCGACGCTACGGGTGGCTCATGCCGTGCAAAGCGTTGGCTTGATGCGGTCGATTGACGATTATCAAGCGGATCTCAATGATCCGAGTCTGTTTGGCACGGAGGCGCGAAGGTTATACCTCTACTCGCTGACGGATGGGATGATTCCGTGGGAGGATGTGGTGGGGCATATGGACGAGGCACGAGAAAAGGGATATTCGGTCCTGGGCGTCAGCTTCGAGGACAGTCGGCATTGTGGACTGGTGATGGGAAACGAGATGCGGTATTGGAACGCGATTCAGCGGGCTTGGGACGGTCGAGAGGTGGATGTGAGTGGGCGGAGTAAACTGTGATCATCGAGGATCTTTTCTCGTAACATAGATCGAAGATCTGTAGAACATTTGTAGGGATTTATATCACGCTTAGTAGTAAACGCTATCAACTGGCAAATAGGAAAGAAGAGGACCTGAATGCAGCTGCCTATGTAGAGCCCGGCAAATCATCCTTACGATGTGAGGCGCCATGCCACCTCAGCCGAGCTGGGCGCTTACCACTTTCCCATCCCCGCTTCACCACTTCCTATTCCCCGTCTCCAGAACCCAACAGATTCCAGAAAGCACGATGAGATCCTTTCAAAGAATCCGGAGAGATGCCTTCAACCCGCAAATCCTACACCATCGCATGGATCAGCCCCCTCGAGGTCGAATTCACCGCGGCCTACCTGATGCTCGACGAGGACCATCCGCCCCTCGCACAGCCCCTCGGCGACCCGAACCACCACACCCTCGGCCGGATTGCGACCCACAACATCGTCATCATCAATCTGCCCATCACGGGGAATACCTCAACCGCTGCCGCTGTCGCGCATCTGCGTCGGACCTTTCCGAACGTTCGCGTCGGACTATTGGTCGGGATTGGTGGGGGAGTTCCGACGACCACGGACCAGGGGCGGATTCGTCTGGGGGATGTGGTGGGTGGGGAAGCCTGATATGGGTACACCGGGTGTGGTGGAATATGCGAACAGTCAGTTCGGTTCTGCAGATTGTGGACAGTTATCGATGCCACCAGCGGAATTGCTAGAGGCGATGCAGATGGTGGAGATGAAGCGGGCGCGACTGCGGATAGATCCTGTCAAGTCGCATTTGAGGCGAATAGACACCACCATTCGAGGATTGAGGAGATATGCCGCTCCAGGTCATAGCCAGGATATTCTCTATCCGGCGGAATACCATCACCAAGCACCAGGGTTGTCATGTTCAGAGGCAGGCTGTGACCCGCGCAAGCGCGCGGATGATCCTGCTGTATTGGCAGACGAGGATGGCCGGGAGGATCCCCCCATCACAGTACACCCAGGAATCATTGGGTCAGGGCCCAGCTTAATCAAGGACGGCGTGGTCAGGGATCGTCTCGCGCGACGGCACGGGGTCGTCTGCTTCGAAACAGAGGCGGCCGGGGCTCTGCACGGGTTCCCGTGTTTGGTCATCCGGGGCATCTCGGATTATTGCGACTCCCACAAGAATAACGTGTGGCATGGCTACGCAGCAGCCGTCGCGGCTGCATATGGGCGAGAATTACTTTGCAATGTCCCCGGAAGGGGTCGGAGGCGGGTGAGTGGACTTGCTCATGGTAAACTTTCAGAGGCGATTCTAATTTTGATCGAAGGGTAATGCAAAGAGTCGGGCAAAGACCGATATCAAGCACGGGGTGCCCTGCTACGTCCGTCGATTGGTCGTCATCCCTGGGGACACGGCAGTATCCGTCTTCGACAATTGCCTCCCCGGCAATGGGTCTTGGGGTCTAGGTCTCCGAGCTGCAAGGCGACATCTGCTTCCGGCCCGAAGAATGTAACCGCCGCGAAGAGTGACGGGCTAGACCGGGCGTGGCTAACCTCCTCGCGGATGAACCCCAAACAGGAAATGGCGAGGTTATTCTTCTGTTAGCTCAACGTGCCTGCGAGTGTCTCACCATTGCCCAGGCTCGTGATTAATGAAGTCATCAGTTGACAGTCCGGGTGAGCGGGAACAAAACCAAAAGTGGAGTGGTAAACACTCTTCCGACCTGGGTCCACCGATGAGGCACTTGGCAGAAGGTTCTGGCAGCCGTGACCAACCAGGATGCAGGCAGCTGCATCCAGTGTAACCAGCCGACCAGCCAATCAGTTTATCCACGCCCACAATCCCACCGAAGAATGGAGCGTCATCATCTGAAGTGGCTCACGACGGTCTTCCCCGGACACCCACCCCCGCATTTTCGGCTATTGACTGGCGCCATGGGTCCACGATCTGCCATGGTTACCACTCGAGGAATAGTCGAGGCTGCTATAGGTCTGACCTCATCCATTGGGAGTATTTATACTGGGGGTGTATCCTGCACATGGCTGATTTGGAAGGCAGACCCCATTGTCCTTACTGCAATTTCTTCTATTCACTCATCATGGCTTCCGAGAAAGACCTCAAGTCGAGCTTGGATCTCAAGGATTCCGATGCGAACCACATCGAAGTCGCCGATCATGCCCCAGACCTGGAGGCTCTTGCCGCCAGTGTCAACGACCTGCCCATCACCTGGTTCGTCTGGCTGGTGGCCCTGACCGCCTCCATTGCCGGCATGCTGTTCGGATACGACACCGGCATCATCTCCGGCGTGCTCGTGGTTCTTAAAACCGACCTGAATAATCGCCCCGTCACCAGCTCTGAAAAGGAAATGATCACCTCGTTGTGTTCCGGGGGTGCCTTCATCGGCGCCATCTTCGCGGGCAACACCGCAGACCGAGTAAGTCATCCTTCTGTTGCCTGGCCCGAAAAGCAAATCCCAGACTAATCCCAACCCGTAGTTCGGGCGCAAAATGGCCATCTACCTCGGCTGCATTCTGTTCGTGATTGGCTCCGTCCTCCAAGCGGCCGCCTTCACGATCGCCCAAATGAGTGTGGGACGAGTCGTCGTCGGGCTGGGCGTGGGCTCGGCGGCCATGGTAGTGCCGTTGTACATTGCGGAGATCGCCCCCGCGCGGGCGCGCGGGCGTCTCATCGGGCTCAACAACATGTCCATCACCGGAGGCCAGATCATTTCGTATGCGATCGGGGCGGCGTTTGCCGACGTCAGCCACGGCTGGCGCTACATGGTCGGATTGGGGGCCATCCCCCCCATTATCCTCGGCTGCATGATGCCGTTTTGTCCCGAGTCACCGCGCCATCTCGTCTATAACCAGCGAAACGAAGAAGCGCGCGCCGTCCTGGGCCGAATCTACGGGGCCGCTGCAACCACCGAACAAATCGACGCGCAGCTGGCCTCCATCCGGGCGGCCTGCGATCAGGCCCGCGAGATCAACGAAACGGGCAGCAAGTGGTCGAAGATTGTGAAACTGCATACCGTGCCCCGCAATCTCCGCGCGCTGATCAGTGCCTGTGGCCTGATGGTCATCTCGCAAATGAGCGGGTTCAATGCTCTCATGTATTACTCGTCGACTCTGTTTGCGCTGGTGGGGTTCGATGATTCCACCGCCGTGGGTCTCGTGGTCGCCGGCACCAACTTTATCATGACATGGGTGAACATGATGGTGGTGGACAGCTGGGGACGCCGACGACTGCTTCTCTCCACCGTCTGGGGGATGGCCGTGGGCTTTGTGGCCGTCGCGGTGTCCATCCACTTCATCCCGGTGAACATGGAGACCTTGGAACCATTGAACCCGGGGGTATCCGGGCCCGCGATTGCGGTTTTGGTGTTTGTGATCTGGTTCGTCGTCTTCTACGGCGTGTCAGTCGGTAACACCGCCTGGATGAGCACGGATTTCTTCCCGTTGGAAGTGCGCGCCATGGGCACGATGTGGATGACCTGTTCCAACTGGGGCAGCAACGTTATCGTCTCCAGCACCTTCCTCACCATGGCCAAGTCCATGACTCTGTCGGGAGCATTCGGCTTCTACGCCGCCATTTGCGGGATATCCTACGTGTGGATCTATTTCTTCTACCCGGAAGTCTCCGGATTAGTCTTGGAGGAAGTCCAAGAGGTCTTCGAACACGGGTTCGGGGTCAAGTACGCTCGCCAGCTGCGCAAGGAGCGAAAGGAGGTCATTGACGAGCGGATGAAGAGCGCAGACAAGCCCATTCCGATGGGTCATTAGATGACTTTCCTGGTTGCGCATGTAGATAGATCAACCATATGACATCATCATTCAATACCAAGAAACCTTAACGTAGTCCACCGGACTCAGCCTCTCCCCACGGGGAGGGGAGAAAACGTAACTTTATCTCCCCTGTCGGACGGACCAATCCTAGCTGAACCCGACACCTCGCAGCCCGAGTCGCTTTATACGGTCTCTCCCGGGGTCGGAATCCGGATTCCGTGGTGGATTCAGTTGCCGGAGTCTTCCCCTTCGGAATTCAGGTCGTATGATTGTGACATGGTCTTCTTTCCTGTCAATTCGACGGATAATAGTGATGATGGCAAGGGATGGCTTCCGATGAATTCCGACTAGAAATTAAGGATTGGGAGAATTCAGGAGGGGTTGAGTCCATCGGCAAATGACATCCTTGTAGGGATGTCTCGGACCTGGAGATGGGTTTCCTGGGGTACTCCTTCGGAAGGAGAAGGTTATGCACTCCGGCCTGGGATTTCCGACGACGGGGCGGGTTGGGTCTGGGGTTGACCCCTCTGTGGGGAGAATTGGAAGGGGACTTTGGAATTATGGGCACTAACTGGTGAGTTTGTCTCATCTGTTCTGGTGAGGGCACCACATGGATCCCTTCCCCCCTCCTTTTTCCTCTCTCTTTTGCAGTTATTACTCACGCAATTCTTTTGTATCTTGATGAGGTCTCCAGTCGTACCTGATTCTGTTTGCTCACAGGGAACTTGAATCGGGTTGCAGTGCATTTCTAGTCCATTACCACTATAAGCGCGAAGTATGGAGCTTTCAAACAATGCTGACGAGAATGAACCTGTTGCGCTTCAATGCTGCCGTTACTTCCGTCTTAAAATTGGTAACTTGTCCAGCACGAAGAAATACAAGCAACTCTCCGCTGAAATACGTTGCCATCTGAACGGATAACGTTATTTTAAATAGGGACAACCCCTATCTGAAATTTTAATAGCGGTGATTACCCTGCGAAAATGCGGCGCAATCCGTCAAAGTCCCTAAGGAAGGCCCCTTGGCATCCACCTCCCGTCTCCTTTGATCCCTATAAAACCCTCCACCCACCTCTCCAATCCCATCATCCATCCAGCCAGCCAACCATCCAGCCAGCAAAGCAGCAAAGCAGCCAGACTCACCCTCCAAGGCTCCGCTCCATATCCCACTTTATATAATGGCCTAACCCCATCCTTTCCGCACGGTCAAGGAAAACTTCCCGAATCTCCTCCCGGAATGACCTGCCCCAGCCTCACTCTAACACCAAACTTTGCCAGTCACGATTTCCCAACTCGTCCGAGGCATGTAATTGCCGTGAAACCAGCTATCCGATTCCCATAGTTTGGGGGAGTATGATGTCCATGATGCAGATGCATGCCTCTATTACGACAGTCACAACCAGAGCAATACCTCATATATATACCTGCAACTGAGATAAGGAAGAAGAGGGAGTATGATGTCCATGATACGGACGCCTACCTTTCATCATGATGCATACAATCAAGACCAACATCTCAAAGTTGTGCTCGCAATCAAGACATGGAAGAGAATGTACTCGGTTATGCAAGTGATCTTGATGTATGGGTTTGAACGTGGGTGGGAGTCATGTACGGAATCAACACGGCAGGGAATTGCCATGTGGGTGGGTGAGATCAGCTCAGAAGACCGACAAGATCTATTACATGGTGTTTTGTTCATTAAGCTTGATAGACTGATGCGGGCGGACTGGAGCCGAACCGACGGACTGACCATGGTGTCTCATCTGGTACCGTATATGGTGTCGATGCACGGGTACGGCTTCATTTATAGACTAACCCATCTACATGCTGCGTCATGACAGATCTCTAGGAATTCGGGCAGCAGTTGTCTTCTGAACGAGGTTGGATGACCTAGGATTCAACAGGATACAGAGAAAGATAACGGGACATTATACACATGAGGAATGGGGGAATGTTTGACAAAGTCGAGTGGTGACAGTCTTTGCATACAGTGCACTCTGAGTACAGTTGTTTCAACTCATTTCGCTGGGCCATCCCCAACGCAATCATATGATGGTTCGCTCACAACCGTATATCGGATGACTGACTTTGCTCTGCTACGCATCAGCTCATATACAACTCCAAGATTGTATCATTGACCAGCTTATAATTCCGATGCCCAATGCTCACTGCAATTCGGCGACGGCATATCAACGATCAATCATCCGTAAAATTGCTTTGATTGATGATCACCCTAAGGCTATGATTCCTGTTCATCACCAGCCCGAGCCACCATATGCCAACTTCCAAGTTGTGCCTCTCACTATACGCCTGGATCATTTCATGACTATAGCGTCAAATACCGCTCTTGAATGTCAATGTCGGAGAGAACTGCTCTATCATGATTTTCCGAGTCTGATGCTTGGCTCTGTTGTCATGGAGCTATCGGAGTGATTGACTTCAATTATGGTCGTCCAGCAGAACTTCAATTTATTCTTCGTTACCATTATCCATCATGATATTCGCAATGACTTCATGTCGTCCATCCTGCACAGAACTCGGGATAGGCTCGCCAGATATCAGGCAGCTGAGTTGGCTATTCCGAAGTTACAAGCTACCTAGCCCAACTATGCACCACGTTCACCATCTACATGTCCAACCTGGAATCATTGTCTACCCATGGGAGAACGCATGGCGCAACGACTCAGCCGCAGAATTCTACCTGTCTGCAGAACAATGCACCGGCCACATCTTAGCAGCACAGAGGCTACAGCAGCACTCTGCCCACTCATTGCAGAACAATATCAGGAAATATAACATGGCTATCCAAAATGAGAAAGACGAAGTACTGTCGCTTCCGCTATCAGCGGCAGCCTTGCCGGCACACTTGCGTCACACCCAGTGTTCCGGGTTTATATGGTTGTTCCGGGAAGAAAGAACGCTTATCGGCTACACGATGGAAGTTTCTTCCTCTGTGACGTATGCTGCAGATTTAACTTTAGGTATATTCAGGAGAACCTACTGGGTGCACCTTAGCTTCTCCCTTGCGAGGGCGGTTCTGATCGCCTAGAGACAAGCTACATTGGGTCCTTGTTTTGGCATTGAATGGATCTGGGCCTGTGCCCTTCTGACGACTGAAGCCGTTGTATAACGCGAATGAGCATTATTGGCTCAGGCTGTCAGTTACAAGCAGCAGGCGCTGCGTCGTCTGCTGCACGGAAGCGTTGAGACCGATGTTAAGCCTGCAGACTTTACACCGGTCCGTATGTGGGATTGTAAGAGGCCCAGGGACGACTCATGGCTTTTGAGTAGTCGCTACATATTAACCAGATCTGGTTTTACAGCCACCACACGTGAAATATATAGTGAGGGAACTCCAACTCCTGGAACTGAAACCAGTTATTGCCATGTTGACATAACTCGTCCTATGGGCATAAGGGATATATATTCCGAAGGTATTCGAAAAGCATCATCCTTCCAACCGGTTACCTTGACCAGCGACCAGAACAATCACTCTGGTTGAATCCCTCATGCCTGCTCTTAGTCCTCATTCAAATCCATGCTGGCAACCAGCAACTCGATTCTCACCTAGGCAACCCTGGATCCCAAACATCCTGCGGGGACAGCACAGGGCATGTGGGGTATTCAATGGTTCTGCGTCTCCAAGCACAAGATACACGATATGCAGTATATTCGCCCCTTTACATGCGACGGCCTCAAATACCCAAGCAAACCAGACCCCGACCTGTGTCTTCGCTGTCCTCAGATCCGTGAAGCAAATTATGAGTCTATTGGAATGATTATTAGTTGGAGCTGCGCCTGGAGGTGTTGCCTGGCGTGACAGGCGGTTGAGGCTGATATCATGCTTTGCTCGAGGGAAGCGAGGAGAGGGAAATCGATACCTCTATCGCATGGCATAGTGGCCAAACCGATGCTATGAGTGTTGGATTGCACTTCGTCCCCCAGCCTTGTTTGACCTGAAGATTAGAAGTGAAATGAGTCTTAAGTTCGACCGTCAACATCATTCCCACCTGATAGGACTACCCCTGAGCATGCCTACTTGGAATGAGGATATGATGCCCAGATCAGGGTGTCTATTGCCCATCTAATATGCTGGGTAAGCTGAAAAATTATTGACTCGTACCCACACCGCAGACAATGGTATTCTCCAAACGTTCGAACATGGGTGATATTCTATTCTCGTGAATACGTCATATTCTCCTCTGTCTCTGCACATCTACGCGCTGTGTGCGACATACCCAAATCGGCCGATTACTGGAAAATTGCACAAGCCAGATCGCTCAGGCCATGCAAACGAAGGTCCCATGTGACTTGCAACATCCAGCTCTGTGATCTCGACCACTACACAAGCATCAGAATGCCTTGGCCTGGATCAATCTGACTTTCATGGCTTGCGCTTGGTTGGTCTATGGTGTGAAAGGTATCTGGCCTTGGGATCTGGGTCTGGCAATGCTCAACGCGAAAGTGGTGACTGGGCTAAAAGCAAGAGATTATGGATTATACAACAACGACTTTTGAAATTGTGTCTCCCTGCTCCTGCAGTGGGTGTTGTCTGGTACGAAGGGTGGGCACGACTCGGACAGTTACCTCAAAGGAAAATGAAATGGGCACAATTGCTATTACTACACTCCTCCTGCACTGGATTCAACAAGATCCCGGTTCGTTTTCAAGCCCAGAGCGTAGGGGGTTTATCCCATGGCTCTTCCAATGGTAGAGCACAAACTTACACAGTCCATGATGACATGGCATGGATCGAAGCCGTTCACCTCGCCTGGCAGATACCGTTTCCATGAGATAACATGTTTGCCCAGACAGCACTCATAGCAATATTGTGGAACTTGCCGTGGGTTCTCAACGTCTAGGTTAATTGCATGCACAAGAGGTTTAAAACATGCGATCCATCTTTATACGATCTTCAGATGAAGTGAAGCGTCTGAGAAATTGCGTTGTCTTATTCCCAATCTCGGGGACCACCATGTTCCTTTCGCGACCACAAAACCAGAGATGCAGTGGGTTGCTTTTGAATTGAAGTCTGAGAATGCGGCATATGTGGCATATGTCGCACCTGGTCAATGGTCAACACATATTTGGTCCCAACGTGCAGAGTCCACTTTCATGAGATCCGCAGTGGCAGCTACCGCGTCTATGTTTAACCAAGTCTTCCCCGAACTAGCATCTCGCATCATGGGGATTGAAAGGGTTGGTGTCCTGCCAGAATCCAGTCACGCGGGTCTTCTGCACACACCTGACCACCTCAGACCGTTTATGTCCCTTAACGCCATGGAAATAGTCCTTCCCCATATTGGAAACATAAATTAGCCTTTGGGTTCTCTGCATAAATTGTTATGCTTGCAGGCCCTCGGAAGGACTAGGTGCAATGCCGTGGATCAGGTCGCCTGCATGGCAAATATCGGGCCGAAATACCGAAAAGACAGACCACTCCTAACAACCAGGACTCAGTCTCCTTGGTTGAAGACAACATACCGGTATTATAGAGGCTGGATACATGCGATACTATGTATCCAGTGAATGCCGCGGACAGTCACAGGGACGCTCATGTACGCCTCTTGACTGAGGAAGTCATAGCCCCGCAAGCTGCAGCAATACATTCGTCTATCAGCTCAGCAGTATAAACAGCTCCAAGGGTGTCAAAATGTACTGCTGGATGGGAAATGGCAAGGACGAGTATGTGTTCCTACATGGAAGATATGATCCGAAGACGCCCCTCGATAGCATGGTTCTGACACCTGTCTGGATTCCCTATGTTCACCGAGCGCCAACCTGGGGATTACCCCTTCGACATTCTGCTCCGTGATTGTCATAGCCTCACGGGTTATCTTTCTTCTCGCATCCGAATCTAATGATTCTACTAACATCACGTTGTCTGTCACTTCCATGCTCAATTCACGGTAACCCACCTTCATTTCGAGAACTCAACCCTATCTATCCACGCCATGCCACAGATCTCAATCTCCATGCGAGTGGACAGATATGACCCGCCACCAGGTCCTTCGTACATCAAGTCTCGCCGCTCTCGCAATCCCGAATCACCTATCCACAATGCTATCTCAATCCACATCTCAGTCTAAGCCCTAGCAAAGCCATACATGACACCCACCGACCTGGCGCTTGCACACCCTCTTATACGACTCATCCTCCCCACTGCATTTCTTTCTCAGTACATCAGTCATCCTCCTCCGCTGCCAATCATCGATGTCTAATCAACAGACTCGACTGTCATGAGGGCCGTCGCTGGGTGGGTCCGCGCCAGATATTCCTGTTCAGGTCGTTGTTTGTATTGCCCGGGGTTTAGATCGAGGCTATATGGTGGTGGCCGATGCGACTACGCATGCTTCTTGGATAATGTCGGGTTCTCGGATCACTGGTTGCTTCTTACACGTCTAGTGATTTTGTATGCCACCTTGAGTGGAAGGGGCAGTCGTTCTGGTTGGTAGTGAGTGTTGCGGTGGGGTCGATTCTCTGTAGGTACATGCTGCGTGGGGCGTGTTCTCGAGCTCGACCATGGATATCCTGGTCATGAAGATGCAGAGGGGAATATATATTGTCCGTCTGAGAGCCGCGGAGTTGGAACAAACAGGAGAATTGCCAGAGTAAAATGTGTAAAGGAGACTCTTATGAACTTGCTCTTTTCTCATAGATCAACGAATATACCTGAAATCAACCCATTCAATGATACCTGATCAAGGGTTTAAGAAGTAGTATTCCCCCTAATCCTCGGCTCGAGAGGAAAATCCTGCTCCTCGACCGACAAACCCTCATACAAACTCTCCCACCGCTTCTTCAACGCATCAGGCGTCTTCCACGCATACTCCGGATCCCTCAGCCAAAGACGGAGTAAATGCCGTCTGTCCACCATTAGCACTCACCCCCTCTAAAACAACCAAATAAGAATAGAAGGCAAGGTGACTTACTCCTTCCCCACCCCATCCGTAAACCCATTCCTCGCATGAAAGATACTCAGATTATTCACATACTGAATATCACCCTTCTGGAACCCCAGCGACGCACTATGTTTCTCAGCGAGGAAATGCAGCGCATCGAGAGCTTCCGCCTGTGCTTCAGTGATAGGGGGGATATTGGTTGATCGCGGCTGGGCCATAAAGCCAGTGAAATAGCGCCGGGCGTATTGGATGAGGATGCGCTCGGGGGTCGATTCCGTGGCGGGTTGGTGGAAGAGGAGGGGACGGGTGGTGTAGGGTTGGGTTGGGTTGGAAAACCTGCTTCCTTGTTAGGGCTTGCACAATTCCCGACACTCGGGTAGAGAGAGTAGGAGGGGGGATACCCATCAAACGGCCACTCCTGCGTCAAGGTATGAATCAAATCCGGCCTTTCCTTGGCAAGTATATTATACACATTCCAACTACTCGCCAATTTACTTTCCCCGCCTTCAGCCGCTTCCTGCAAACAGAGAAGGGAGATGATATCGCCCGAGTCGGTATGGAAGACTTGTTTGTCGGCGGTGTTGGAGGGGGCGCCGATGGTGCCGGGCTGCACGGTATGGGAGATGTCTTTGATGTGGGAGAGGACCCGCGACGGGGTGTGTTTGGATCGATTGTCTTCTTGTCGGCCTCGGAAGTTCCCAATGTGGGAGGATACGCCCGCGTAGATGATGATGTTGTCTTCGCGGGAGTAGTGGTCGATTCGGAGACCGCGGACCACGACGAAGCCTCGGCCGAGGTGGATTTCGTGGGAAAGAGAGCGGAGGATGGGGTGGAGGGTCGGGAGGGGGAAGGTGGTTTGGTTGATAGTGCCTAAGGGAAGGTTTTTGGCTGGTGGGTATGTTAGATCGGTTGTGAGGTTGGGGGAAGGGGGGGGTGGGGGTACATTTGAAGTCTTGGAGAGCGCGGTCGATCTCGTCGAGCTGGGCGTCGTTGAGTTGGTAGATCCAGTCATCGCGCTGTTCCACGTCTGAGCCTTCCCAGACTAGAGGGGAGTTGAGCTGTGCCGGGAACCCCGGGGGAAGGGTTGTGGGTAGGGTTTCGGTGGTGATGCGGCGCTGGGTGCGGGCCGTGTATTTGTCGTAGTCGGGGTGGTATTGGATGTCCGGTTGGACGAGAGTTTGAACCTCAACCATGGTGAATGATGGAGTAGTATTTATCCGAATGTCGATAATGTTTGTAAAAAGACGAGGTGGTGGTTGACAATAAGGTAGAAGTATATATGCCGTTGTCGATCACACCATCCCGCCCAGGCATTACGATTCTGAAGCCATTCCCGCTATCGCTCGTTGCCATTCGTCAGCACCCCGCACGTCAGATGAGCGCATCGGTTGCACAAGCATCGCCATCTATCTGATACAATCGCGGTGAGTGATGAGGTGGGGGGGTATCTTCTAAACCTGCTGTGGATCACCATCTTCAGCAATGTCTACGAGATAAGGGATGAAACTTATCAAAATGATTAATAATTTCCTTACTTGAACCGAAAGTAGAGGATTTATAGTAAAAATATCCTTGTTTAGACAACTAAATTCCGAATCAACTTTGAGAATCTGGATCAATATGATCGTTGCTTAATTTGATGACACAGATAAAACCCAATATATCAAATATCGGCAATGCAATATCCGTAATTTCTAAGGATCTTTGTACGCCCACAGAAATAAGAACTGATTGATCAACCAACTCAATACACACGATCAGTAAATCAATTACCTGCGCCTTCTCGATAATCCCATCTAGACTCTTAACGAAAGCCTGATGAGCCGGGTCTTGCTTCACATAATAATCGCGATCTTCCGCAGTCGGAAACTGTACCACAAAAGCGTGGGTAATTCCATTCTTCAATCGCAGACACACAAGGTCAGCCACTGCATCCCAAGGCTGTAGGATAGGATGAGCACGATCTCACCTGAATGCCTTCTGAAGAGTTGTCTTTTTCACCAGAAGCGGGTATTGAGGAACACCGATTCAAAATCCGAGTCACTGGCTACAGCGGCCATCAGGCAAATTGATTTCCCAACCGGAGCCGGTTGCCAACTACCCCAGCATCTATGTCTCACTGCATTATGCAATGTACGGCTAATTATCTTCAGTAATGTAGAAGTTGATTCTTTATTGTGATTTACTAAGAGATAAAAACAAGATGCACAGTTGCAAGCCCTTGCCTGTGGCCATTCCATCGAGACCTTTACCAAGAAATTGGCTAATAACTTATAGCTCAGTAAGAATGGATTAATCGATGGAGGGATATAAACAGCGACACAGTCATGTAAACAAGCCGGGTACTAAAAATAATCCGATAGGTATAAAGAAAAGGCCAGCATCAGGTGATACCAAGAACACATGGAACTCGCTCCTCTCAGTTCTCGTTTCCGGCAAGTGCTCTGATACTGACCACTGACGATGCCTTGTCCGGAACCTCGGCAGACTGTAAAGACTTCCTGTAGCCCAACGGATCATGTGAATGTCCATTTTGAACGGGGATGAGGCTGGCAGTTGGATTCGAAAGGGTAGGTGCAGTCCCTTGATCATGTCCACGATCCTGTTTTGCTAGAGCATAGATTGCTGGTATGCGATATATGACTAAACTGCTCTACAGCTGGCGGCAAGCAGCCTGGGACAGAGGAGAATGGGCGCCCGAATGGCTCCGAGGTCCCCAATTCTAGGACATCTGACAAGATTCTTGAACACCCGCTTCATACAGGTGAACAATTCAGCCACAGGAACCTTTAAACGGAGGCATTTGCAGCCAGCGGAGCCTCTCCTACTGACTTTAATATCCAAATCAGGCTTCACCCTATGTTAGGTCATTCCGTGCATGGCGGAAGAGAGAGGGAGATGATAGACATAAAGTATAGATTCTAACAGAAATATGGAAGAGAGCGGAGTTCAAGGAGCAGAGAATATATATAGAGAAGATAGTGGGAGGAGGATTGGCTTTCCATAATCCACTCGGATGCAGTATAACCCCTCTGGTGATGTCGCGGAGCCATCCGCCGCCGGAACCTTCCCGGGTCCTGTAGTAGGTCACACCATTGCAGTCACAGGATTCAAGCCAGCGAGTTCATTTCAGGTGAAATAGACGGACTCTACAACCGATGTGACCGATGATGCTACTCAGGTAATGACTACCGGGAGTTGGATAGCAGAAATGGCTCTTCATGGCCACGAAGCGCAACTTCCACTGAGCTCGCCTATTGCTCTTCGCACTTGAAAGTGCTGAGTGTATGGAGTGGCTAGTCAGAATAAATGTGCTGAGAAAGAAACGATCTAATGAGTATCAAACCACTATATTTATGTTCACCTTCGAGCCCGAATTCTCAGTAGGTGCCTTCGCGACACCTTCTTTTATCGTATCCTCTCTACCAAACTCTCTGAGACTCGCGGAGAAGCCCTTTTTCTTCAGGAGTCTCCCATTGAACCTCTTACTTGGTTTGCTTTCCTCCGTCTAGTACTAGGAGAGACTCTTAGGACTCCCCTCTTCAGAATCATCCTTTCGCTGCAGTCTCCGGACTGGCCTTCTACGGAATTATGGATAACGGACTCTTCCGGCCAGTGCTGACTGCAGAGCAGACAGTATTGGGATCTCAACACTGCTCTTGCTCCTCAGACAGAACAATGCATTGCCATCATCGAAAGACCCACCTTCACATGTCTGGCATCCTACCAAGAAGGGGAACGTCTCGCACTTTTTGGCTTCTCCCAGGAATACGAACCCTTAACCCTCACCCGTGATTTTGCCGGCCTTCGATAATTATATTGTAGGGGTAGATTGGGCGGTCTGGTAGGGGCTCAATAATTACCTTAATTTGAACCTAGATAGAGACATAGTAATAAAGAGACTGGGATTTCTCAGTGAACTAGGCGGGATGAGCTCTAGACGACTGGATAAAGGGGCTTCAACTGGTATTTTTCCTGTATGTCGACTCGATATATTTGGACTACGGTATGGTCAAGACAAACCTCCACGAAGGCTAGGCGTGACGGCCTCTGTAGATATTACGGTTTATCTAATGTAAGGTATGATGTTCTATTGAAGTATACCTGTGAATTTATTGCATCTAATGCTCAGTGGCTAGGGGCAAGTGGATATGTATCAGTGATGCTAACCCTCTACTCCTCCTTCACCAACTGCCCCATGTCTCCGATGAGACGCAATAGGCATGCCCCCACACCACACTTGAGCCCCCAGAGCAATATGCCACAATTAACAGTCATCAATCAAAATAGTCTCCACGACCTTCTTCTTATCCTTCACCTCTTCATCACTCTTCTTAGCACTCTCCTCCTCCTTGCCCTCCTCCTCCCCACCATTCTCAATCTCCTCAACAAGCGCACTCCCCTTCACCCCCTTCACAGCCTTATCCCCCGGCGCCTCAACCAACTCCACCATCTCCTGGTTCGGCCCCTTCAGAAAAACAACCCTACTTCCCGCAGACGGTCCACACTGAGGCAAGGTAATCACCCCAGTCCCATCCACCATCTCCCACCCCAACTTCTTTCCCTTCTCAAGAACACCATCCAGATCCGCCACCTGCAGGCTCAGATACATGGTACCCGGCACATTGGGCTTACTCTTGATAGTCACGCCATTTTCCGCGGGAGAGGAGGTGTATTCGATGAGTTTCACCACGAAGTCCTCCGTGATTTTCACATGGGCGAGTTTGACTTTGGCGCCTTTGACGCCGGTGAGAGTCTCGGTGAGGGTGTTCTGTTCGGCAGCGCTGGGTTCCACGGTGGCGCAGGTGGTGAGGCCGAGGACGCCGTTCCAGAAGGCGAGGGCGTTGTCGATGGAGGAGACGGTGATGCCGACGTGCTTGGCGAGAAGGGTGGTTTGGGATGCTTTGGATTCCATGTTGTTAGTGTATTGGAGTTATTGATGATTGGGAGATGACGGTATGGTATTGCAGATTGCGTGATGTAGTGGGAAATGGAAGTGGATGTGATGGGGTTGGGGGTGATGGTACAGAGCTTTATACCTTAGCGCATGTTGAAATGAACGGTCAACAGGTATAATCCTGGAGACTTGATGGAATGATCCGACGGTAAAGTGCAGCCTATGCAGGGAATTACCCCCTGTCAATGCAATCTTCCGCCTGCATGCAGGGGCAGATGACATTCTGAGGACTGTGTAAGAACCTGCATCTCGCCACCCGAAAAGGTGACTCGGAGAAACGGAACGCTGTAGCTGTAGCTGAAGAATACATCATTGTTAGTCCCAACATGGTCCGGATGGAATGCCTTCGAAACTTCCGTCGGTGGAAATGAGAAACCGGAATCTGGCATTTTCGGCCTTCGGGAAGCTTCTAACGCCAGGTTCAAAGATACTCTAGGTTTCCATGTTTCCGATACGTCGGAAAATAGCATCCGAGAATATGGTAAGTGTTGACATAGCACCTATAGCATAACCTGCTTAGGTTTTGTTCCTAGACGGTCCATGGCATCTCCTCGGGACATATGCTGGATAAGTAGATAGCTGGTACGTATGCATGGTCTGTGATTAGCTCGAGACCTGCAAACCTTTCCAGACGGAAAGGTGAAGAACAATTCAAAAAGCATCTTCCAAGGTTCGGTCCCATGGAATTGGCACAGAGGGATTAATGCAGTCAGTACTGCAACACGTCAAGCGGGATCGTACCCTATTGGCTCCCCTGTATCGTACGAAATCCGGCGAACGTCTAGATTCGAGCGGAGCATTTTAAGTCAGCCCACTTATTCTAGGCGTCCAGGGGACACTGAAGTTTCCTGTTGACTCATAAAAGATCCTCCAACTCATATATCAGCACTTTGCTGACGTTGAAGACGCACTGCGTCTGCGCCGTACCTGCCGCACGCTACACCAGGTGTTTGGACCTGGAAGTCAATGGGCGATCTTGAGGGCAATTGTCGTGAGTTTGTTGTTCAACTGTTTGAAAGCCTAATCTGATCTGGACATTTCACAGGCCAACAATGACCCCCTCGGAAGTCCGCAGTTCACCCAAATAGAGAAAAACGCATTAGAAAATCTAGCCTACGATCTGATCATCCCAACACACACCATTTCTACCGTCATGTGTAGATGGCACACCATGCAGATTATCAAGCGGATGGGCAACTCGATAGGAACGCAAGCTCATGCTACCTCCCCGCATCTCATCATAGCGTGCGCGGTAGTCAACAATCATGAGCACGATATACACTGTGCGCTTTTCTTCGCAATCGAGCATGGCCTGGGACCCGGTTGTCCAGCTCATGTTAGAGAAAGGCGCCAACGTGAATCGCCATGGCTATGTCTTCATCCGCCACACCCCTTTGACATACGCCGCGATTCTGAATCGCCCATCAATTGTGCGACGACTACTCGACGCCGGGGCCGACACAGATCTTATGACAAATGATGGGCTTACCGCGCTTCACGTGGCCGCTGAAGGATGCTATCTCGAAGTGGTTCTAGTACTTCTCGAAAAGGGAGCAAATATTGAAGCCGTCACTCAACAAAGGCCCGGAGTGCTACTACCATGTACGATGAAACCACCATACCCCCAAACGCCGCTGGCAATTGCTGCCGAGACTTCTGGCCCGGGGAGCAAATCCATACATGCAGCATGACAACGGCGTCACACTCTTGCATCTTGCAGCTATCACTAGGAATATACCATTGGTAAAGCTCCTTATCCACCACGGGCTCAATATTAACCATCAAGAAACGGGCGGCAATACACCACTCATAGACGCCGTCTTTCACGGCCACCAAGAAGTCACGAGGCTGCTTCTAGAGGAAGGAGCCAATCCGAATATGGCAGATAATCTCGGTAGACATCCCATGTCTATTGCTGTTCTGGCCGGCCAGAAGGCGATCATGAGACTCTTACTCTATTGGGGTTCGATACCGCCGGATTCCCGTGATGTCCATGCTGCCATTGTGGCTGGGAGACTTGGGGTGGAAGATGTTATTCTTTAGAAACCACTGACTCTTCCTCGCGTAAGAGGTTAGGGTTCGTGGGGTGATATGTTGACCTTTTTGTTCTTGACCCCTAATATGCCATACACTTTGTATGAAGCTCGGTAGGCGTTATCTACCTAGCGTTGTTTTCATGTTGATTTTAGATTGTCATTAATTTTTGGAGAGCATTGAGAAAAGTAGAGAAATAAAGTACACGACATTAAGAGCATGAGCAGTTAAGCCCAGGGCACCGGTATCATTAGATCTAAAAAGTCACCAATAACATATATCTGCAAGTCATAGGGCGATTGAGATGCATAATGTATCAGATACGCTCAGTCTGAGTACCGTCGTGATCAAATCGTTGGGTTGATTGCAAGTGGTGACTTTGGTAGAGTGAATATCTGTCGTCTTAGGGACTGAAACCAACATCCCCATTAAACCGGTCGTATATTTCTCAATAGTTGCTTTCCAATATATGTTTGTCGTGTACAATTGCCACCCTTTGGTTCATGTCTCACCAGACCATATCATCCTAGTTCGAAAGCTGCAGGTACTCGTCGGATGATAGGCAACTATACAGTCACAGATTACTTCAATTAGACACACAACTTCTTCCTACTAGAAAAGACCTTGCAAACTGAATTTGAACTCATTTCTGCCCGGTAGCTGCTGGAGCCTGCCCGATCACCCACGCTGCCTACCATCGCGATGCAAGGGGCCGATAAGCCACCCAATCATGTCCACATCAACACGCCAAGGGACCTGCATTCTTGAACTTCGATCGCGTATTTAGCTTGTCGACATCCATTCATGTTTGGATCTTTCCCGAGGCGATGGGATTGGCCTGAACCGATAACGCAAGTTCCAACAGACACACTGGAGTTGTCAATCAGACATCAGACCACCTCTCCAGTCTCTCAATAGCATCAACATGGCAAAGCTGGAGGATATGCCTCCCGAGATCCTGATCTCGATATACCAACAATTCGAGGATATCGACGACGCGCTCCGGCTCCGTCGGACCTGCCGTCGACTCCACCTTCTATTCGGGCCCGCAAACCGGCGAGTAATCTGTAGTGCTATCATCGTATGTTTTCCGCTTCCGATCTCTCACAGCCCCGTGTGCCAGTCTTAACATATAGCAGAGGAACTTTGATTATACACGACACCTGGAGCAGATCGCTGATTCAAGATTTCACGCCACGGCGTTATTTCTCCTCACCGAAGACCTAAGCTGTCCAAGTCACAGTATAACGGGTATTGCTTGCCGATGGCATACGGTGATGATCTTGCTCGGCATCGGCCATGAGCGCGCGAGGGTATCTGACTCTATTCCTCGGCTTCCCAGAGTGCTAAACGACTTCCTTGTCGATCGCAATGACGAGCACACCAGCAAGATCTTTTCACTTGCAGCTTCCAAGGGCCTCGAGCCTATCGTACAGCTCTTGTTAGACATGGGTATCGACCCAGACTTCTCGGATCGAGACAACGGCGTGACCCCATTGATGAGGGCAGCATCTCATGGCTGTGAAGCAGTGGCGAAGCGACTACTCGCGGCAGGGGCGAATATCAACGCAACCGACAACCAGGGGCTGATGGCGATGCATTGGCTGGCCTACAAGGATCATGTGGCGATGATGCGGCTGCTGCTAAACCACGGTGCGGACATGCAGTCGCGCGGCAAGGAGGGTATTATGACGATCCATCTCGCAGCTATCCGGGGTCATGTAGCGCTGATGCGGTTTTTACTCGAAAACAATCTCGATGTGGATTCGAGGTCTGCAGACGGCTTTACACTACTCCATCTTGCTGTTAGAGCCGGTCGTGTAGAAATGATCCAGCTCCTACTGAAACATGGTGCCGATATCGAATCGGAGGCCCAACCTGGCTATACACCACTTCGTTACGCAATTATAGGTGGACAACAAGCCATTGTCCGGCTGTTGCTAGACCACGGGGCCGATGTCAAATCCAGGGATCGAGTGGGCAGGACACCTCTCCACTGTGCCGTTCTGCAAGGTGGCCTTGGTAATCTTCAGGTGACCCGACTGGTACTAGAATCCGATGTGGATATCAACGCAAAGGACGAAAACGGCGAGACGCCGCTCCATTATGCAACCCTGACAGACCATCTCGGCGCGGCCCGGCTGCTCCTCGAGTATGGCGCGCATGCTGAATTCAAAGACGCGCATGGCAGGACGCCGCTTCAAGCCGTCCTTATGGAGGGTCAAACAGGTTGTCTGGCAGCGGTCCGGCTGCTGCTAGAATATGGCGTGGATATTGAAACGAGATCTGATGAAGGTCGCACGCCGCTCATGGACGCTTGTAGCGCTGATATGTGCCGAATTGTCGAGTTCCTGCTAGACCGAGGAGCCAATCCAAACTCGAAGGACACGTATGGAAGAACAGCATTACATTATGCGGTTGAAAATAAGTGTGAACGAGCAGCGGAACTTCTTCTAGATAACGGGGTGGACACCGATTCCATTGATCAGGGAACCCTCATGGCTGTCTGGCTTGAGCCAGAACAACAGTCTTCCAAAATTGCTGCCTGAGAAGTTGAGTAATCTGTGTACATATTGATGCAGCATGTTTGATTTACTATTGGAGATACACTTCAAGAGATTAATGTCCATCTCTAAGACATATGTTCGAAAAAAGATGATGTTTATGGCCATCTCAATGGAATTCCTTTCAGGTATAGAAACAAATACCATAGAATTCCAACGTTGACCGACACGACAGCGCGATGGCTTTGCAAAATATAGCTTTTTACTGTAACGTACAAGAATCTTCACCATTGACGAAGCCTTCGGCCGGTAGTCCAGGTCAAGTTATATCATCGAGCATCGTCTTCCACATACTACCATCCCAATCTTCCATCCATACCCCTAAATGACCAAACCAACTCTGCAAGTTAGAGAGCCTCACTGTCGGTCGTGGACATCGCTCCTGAACTTTGTGAATACCTGCATTATCCCCGAACCAGCCGCAAGTGGAACCCCATGGCTTTGTTATGACTGGATATGATAACTCTCCTATCACGATAACATGGATCCTCTAAACTTGCAGAACATCCACTGCCTTTACTAATCGATGCCTGTGGCACTACGGCTGTGAGCTCCCTATTCTCCCGAGCACAGTGCTAATATAAATTTTCTCCTTGGATGAGGGGAAAGATAAATAGTACGAGTATCGGGCTGTCTGGCTTGACGATCTGGGTGTACCAGGAACCTTCTGCCAGTCAGTATCACTTGGCTCCTGGACTAGTGGAGAGTGAAACGATGGACTGGCCTGTTTACTGACAGCATTAATTCCAGGTTAGAAAGAATATATATCGTCGGCTAACCATTTGCCCCTCACTGGGTAAAAGTCCCATCTTTATAAATTCAGCACAACGGTTCAGATAGTCTTCAACTCCAGACTGCAAATCCAGTCTTACTATTCGCCATTGATTTTGAAACAATCATGCTTGGAACTCTGCTTGGATGCACCCTAATCAGACGCATATCTAGTTATACACCTTCGCATCCAGCCCAGGGATAATCTCCAAATCCTTCTCTCCATAACTGTACTTGCCATCCTCGGAGACCTTGGCCTCTCGTGTACGTCTCTGCTGCTGAGTCTGGCGGACCTTGACCCACTCCTCCGTCGTCAGATGCTGACCCAACTCCGTGAACACATTCTTGGTGAGTCCGAGGCGGTTGAGCAGGGGACTGTTCTGAATCGGGTCCAGAATGACATGGTTATTGGGCCTATAACATCAACGTCAACACATCATTCAACGAATAAAAAAAGAGGGTAAACTGACCGTGCAAAATACAACACCCCCAACCGATCCACATGCGCCTGATCAGCCGGCGGCACATGAACGCGATGGATACTCGATTTGATCAGACCGCCAGTGAGAGCAGTCAACGCATCGCAGGTATTGATCGTGATAGTTCCATCCTGAGGACGGACCCATTTCCATTCTCCGTCGGAATTGAGAATCTGTAGCGCAGCAACCGGTTGACGGAATAGCAGAGTCACAGTGCCCAGATCCGTGTGGCCGGGAGAGTACAGCCCCCCGACCTGTTTGTTGATCTCGGCGCCACGGGCTGCGTAGTGCATGTAGCGGAGATGGTCTTCGCCTTTGACATCGTATTGGTGGTCGCGGACGAGTTGGTCTTCGTCGGGTAGTTCGAGGAGGATGGCGAAGAGACGGAGGAGTTTTTCGACTACTTCGGTGTGGCATTTCTGGGGTGGTGGTTAGTATATATTTAGGTTGGTAAGGAGGTGGGTGCATACCCGGCTGAATGATTCGATTTCATCGATGTTGTCGGCCAGGACAGGGGGTTGTTGTCGCTGGTGGTATCCGTCGAACTTGGGAATGTTGTAGACTTGGACGTTGTCTTTGATACCGTTTCCGAGGCTGTTCTGGTCAATATGTTGTCGTCTTCTGCAGGCTGAAAATCTTACATTCGGTGCCCAGCTGGTCGATAGCCGTTGTACTCGCCACGATCAAGATCAGCGCGGCTGTGGTACTTGAGCTTTTCTTCCAGAGGAAGGGCATAGAACTCCCGGCCGAGAGCAAATTGGCGATCAATTTCTTCTTGGCTGATGTTGAAGTTCTTGACGTAGAAGAAACCTTCGGACGATATTAGCGAAGCCGGATGCCTGTAGTGGGATACTTACCGACATGTCGGACTGCGTGCTCCAGCTGCTTGACAAGGGATTCCTTTCCTCCTGGATGCTCGTACTGACTTAGGTCAAGGGTGATGAGTTCGGCCCAGTCGACTATTTGGTCAGGATGGTCAATTAAATGTATTGGGTATATGCTTACGGTTTTCCTTGGTCACTGGGACGTGGTCGTATCTGTCGATGAGTCTGGCGGGCATATTGGTGAGGTGTAATCAGTTTATTCTGTTACGATTTTTGGAGGGATTGATTCAGTCGGGGATGCAGGTAGTTATGTCCAGGTCAATGCGCTGTATACTTCGACCCCGCACGACGTAAGTGACGATGGACGGCTGGCAAAGCACGCAATCCTTATCTAGCGCGGTAGCGAGGATCTAGCCCGCGCAAAGCACGAATCTTGAGTCATGTAAAAAGATAAGAGCTGATTAAGTTGTGGTTATGCCAGGGTTGAGGCACGTCATCCCGCACTCGGATGTTGCGTTCTGCAGCCAACGCGGCCGAGTAACCCATCAGATCTTGTCTTGTCTTATGGCGACAGCAAGTGGGATGATGGCAAATATGTCAACAGTGTGCGGTAGTCTCGTTAGCAGAGTCAATTATGGTATCCTTGGATCAGATAAATTGTCCCATGGATCATTAAACATGCCCCTGTAAGAGTATTACCGGGAATATTGCCTGACGTGTGCAGGCAACCATGTCTGGCAAAAATTCCAAGGCCGAGAAATTAGGCGTTTGGGGGCTTCTCAAAGAAGTGTTCAATTGGTATCCGTCTGATTATCCGGCCAATGAGCGAAAGTGAGTTAGCGATCCTGGGTCATACTGGTACTAAACGTATAGGTTGCTCTTCAAACTCGATTTGTCTATTCTCGTGTTCGCCTGTCTTTGCTGTAAGTTTTCCCATGAACGTTAGAAGACATGCACTAACAAAACCAGTTTTTGTCAAGTACCTGGGTAAGTCAGTCGACCTGTCATATACACCCCAGGCTGACATGCTCAGACCAAACCAACATCAGCAATGCCTATGTCAGTGGACTGAAAGAAGACTTCAATCTCAATGGCAATCAACTCAACTATTTCAACGTGTGCTATTATACCGCCTATGTGGTCTTCCAAGTGCCGGGCCTACTATTAATGTCTCGTCCCAAATTGTATGTTCTATGAAGACACGTCGAGGAAACAACTAACCGAAGCAGAGCTCGATGGCTGCTCCCATCCCTCGAGATTGTCTGGGGTATTTGTACCTTTGCACAAAGCCGAGTAACAAACGTCAGTCAGCTTTATGCCCTTCGCTTTCTCGTTGGCATGTTTGAAGCGCCTGTGTTTGCTGGGACACACTTTATTCTGGGTAAGTCCCTTTAATTCCGACTTGTGGCTCTGCTGATAATCAAGGCTCCTGGTACTCGGGACCCGAGCTATTCAAACGCGCCGGAACATGGTTCATCTGCAACGCACTTGGAACCATGGTTAGCGGGTATCTCCAAGCCGCAGCGTACACCAATCTATCCGGAGTGGCAGGTATGCCGGGATGGAAGTGGCTATTCATTATCGACGGAATATTCACCATCCCCGTCGCCATAATAGGGTTCTTCGTCTTCCCCGGAATACCAGACTCACCTCGGCCATTTTTCTTATCAGACGGTGATATCGCCCTGGCCAAAGACCGAGCGCGGAGAGCCAACATTCGTCGACCTGGGAAAATGGGCATCGATGTATTCAAACGCACGGTCAAGCGTTGGCATATTTGGGTCTTCATCTCCTGCTATGCGTGAGTCTTCCCCTCCTCTTGCGAAACGCACTGCTGACCTTTGGGGTTAGGTGCATGATTATGGCGTCTTATCCAACTTCGTATATGAACCTCTGGCTCGAGGCGGAAGGGTACTCCGTGCCACAGGTGAATAAGTTACCGACCGTGACCTATGCCATTAATATTGTTGCCTCCTGGTTGGGAACGACACTTGCCGCGATCTATCCGTCTTGGCTGATCTACACTATTGCTTCGGCTTGCTGTTTATTCTCCACTCTGTGCATGATCATTTGGAACATCCCCAAGCCTCTGAAGTAAGTATAATGCCACTTTCTTAGAGCAATATACTGACAGTGTATAGGTTCGTCGCATGGTACCTCTTCGGCGCAGCAGGATGTACAAGTCCAATTCTCTACTCTACCGTGAATACTATCGTAAAGGACGATTCCGAGGAGCGTGCCCTGATCATGGTATGAACCACACATCACTATAGGCTACAGCATCGAGCGAGAACCAGACTGACTGAATCTCAGGGCGCAATGATGACATTCGGCTACTCATTCCAAATCTGGGTTCCTCTGCTTCTCTATCCCACTGCTGGTCCCGATGGTGCACCGCGATGGCGGAAGGGGTGGCCCGCAGCCTTTGCATTTTTCTTTTTGCTCTGGGCAGGGTTTGTTGCGGCTACTTTAATACATAAAAGGTGGGAAAACATTCCGGCTTGAGTATCATTGCTAATGAAGATGCAGGGAACAGAAACGGAAAGGAACATATTCAGTGTCGTCAGATGAGAGCGTCACTGAAGATGGGGAGCCGATTGTTGTGGAGGTGGATTCGAATAGAAAGGGTGGGAACTTGACGGTGAATCAAATGTAAGGTGGGGTACGACGGTAGACTTAGTATGAGACAAATCATAGAATATAGAAAGTTCACAGTCAGACACTTTAACAGACGAAGAATTCCTGAAAGGGCCTCTTTTCCAGTTCTTCAAGAAGGGGCTTCATTTGAGACTCAGGATCTCTGCCAATGCCCTCGAGGGCCCTGTTATGTCTTGACGGGACTCGTAGTCACAGCCTGAGTTATATCAATCTCCTTTTTAGGTTTTGCATTTCCGGAAGCAAGTACCTGCTAATGCCATTGGCCAGAGAATTGTGCATTAGTGCTCATCGCCCAGTTAAAGGTAATGAAATAGGAGGCTTCAGAGCCTGATGTAGCGACTTCAGGAAACATATGAACAGGCCACAGTACTCATGACCAAGGATGAGCATAGCCAGTCCACCCATCGATATTAAGTCAATCTCTGCTCAGTCTCTCGACTCCGCCACATCACGTTTGATCTATTCAGTTTGAATCCTCAAGAGCTGCCTTCTCCGCCAGCTCCTTCAACGACCTCTTCTCTTTTTCAATCCCATTGCGTCGCTGCGCCACATCACACAGTTCAAGATTCCCACATTCACACTCCCCCTCCCTCAGCCACCGGTACGTGATACTCCACCGATCCTCCCGCAACCTCACCGACCCATCAGGCAGCGTATCCGTCTTGCGCTTCTTAATCCCATGCGTCCAATGCAGCCTCGCATCCCCCTTCATCTGCATCATCGTCCGGGGGGTCAAATCCACATCGACCCGTTCCTCTGTCTTCCCCTTCCGAAACTGCATCACCACCGGCGCCCCCATCGACAACGCATACAGCTGATCATACGGCCGATGCGCATCCACATGCGGCGGAATCCCACTCCCCGGCGGATAATACTGCAAACAGACCTGTTCTGGCGGCCGGCCCTCCGTCGTCGGAATCAGCGGTTTCAACCAGTCCGGAAACTCCTTGTATGGGATGTCTGGATCTATGCCAAAGGTCTTATAGTCGAAGGTGTAGCCGTAGTGGAGTGATTGGCGTCCCGTGCGATCGGGCCAGTCTAATTCATGTCGGAAGATGGATATGAGCCGTTGCTCGTGTTCGGGCGTGATGAAATCTTCTTCCCAGAGGATTCCCCGCGGCTCGATGGGCAGCTCTTGCATGACCATCGTCGTAGTAGTAGTGGCTTAAACGCGGGTGGTGTAAATGGCGAATCGGATGTGCCTGGTTGGGGAAGAGTTTTCCCCGGTTGCCCCGCCCCCGCGGTCGACCCGTCCGGCCAATCAGGTTGTAGGGTGGTTGATATCTTACTATCATTCCATACATTAAGCACTGTGTTTGATAGAAACAGATCTTGCTATAGCACTGTAAATCCGGCCATAGAGCCGATCATGGCTGTGCATATTGAATGTCACTTCCTGGGCTAGGATAGACCCTTCGCCAATACCAACGCCATAAACATTCCTCAATCTTCTTCACCCTAGTTGCTCTGGCTGCCCCCTCAACCATAGTTTTCACTCGAGAGAATGGAATATTTCTCTCATCAAAATGTTCCAACAAAACTTTCACCGTCGAAAGTCCCCTATCCGCTGCTGCTTTCTCCAGCAGAGTCCTGCCGCAAGGACAGACACCAAACGGGTCCGCACCGTTTCTCAATAGAATTCTGAGGGTCTGCGCTGGAGTAGACGATATGTCCCATATTCCTAGCACAAGAAGAAGCGGAAGGTTGTCTTTACCACCACGCCACTCAACGTCTGCGCCGTACTTTAAAAGGAGGTTCATTGCTGGCGCATTATATTCAGGAGCTTTTCCAGCCTTTGCTGCGAGAACGAGGAAACTGTCTTGCCTCGAGTCACTCCTCGCATTGGCATCGAATCCGGCCTTGAGAAACATCTCCATGATGGCAGTATCCCCCGCTTCGACTGCATCAGCGAACGCCTCCTCATGGTCCCTGTTGCCTGGTTGCAGCTCAACGTTCATATGTTGCAGGACCAGCTGAAAGACCTTGACTCCTCCCGCCACCGCCTTTACAATCAGATCGGAATTATCTTCGTCTTTGGGCGCAAGGACATCCCGTTCCACTAGAATCCGGACAATACTGAGGCACGCGTCACTCCCTGGTCCGACGCTAACCGTTTTCTCAAACAGGGTACAGAAATACTTGACGAAAGGGTCTGCCCCGCGGTCAAGCAGTAATTCCACGATCTCTGGGAATTCTCGCTGGGCTGCCGTGAAGATCGGCGGATAGATGCCACCGCGGCCTCGCAGCCTGAGCTTCGTACCACAGGGATCTGCGCCACGGTCAAGAAAGAGTTTCACAAGGCCGAAATTCCCTTTTCGAATCGCGATATTCAGACACGAGCCGAGGTGGGCTTTCCACTCGTCCTCCCGGACAGCAAAATACTGGACCACCCAGGGGACCGCTAGCAACCGCCGCACCAAATCCTCGCATTCACCGGAGATAGCACCACGCACGAGACAGACATGTGCGCGCAAGCTCTCTTCTTCAATGATCTTATCGAAATCGATTTTGCCGAGCAGAAACGCCGCATGTTCCGGAAACTTGCCCGCTGCGTGGGTCACTTCGTACAAAACATCCCCGCTGTCAACATGACCGAATGGATCCTCATATGCGAAATACTTTGGCATTATGAAATGAGCCCCTTGATCGAACAGAAACTTGAGGAACGGCATATCACCCTTTCTCAAACTGCAGAGCAGACTCTCATGATAGCGACCTCCAGAATCAGAAAAGTCGGGCTGTACTCCAGCATCTAGAAAGATTTGAAGAACCTCTAGACTCACACGGGACGACATTTTCCACGCGGATCCTTCATAACCGCCATTGGGACGGTAGTCGGGTGTGAGCGGATTACATCCATGTTCCAGGAGCAGCTTGATCAGCGGGATATGACCACTCTCAGTCGCCAGAGACAGGGGTTGTCTGACTTCGACCTCCTGTTGTCTGGCGAATTCTAAATCCACCCCATGCTCAATCAATAGTCGGACCACCGCCTCATGCCCGTACACGATTGCAGTCGTGAGCGGATTACCGAATTGGAATAGCCTGTGGAACCCTACCGGGGGGTTCGGATCGACGCCGTGTTCGAGAAATGCTCGAACGACGTCTACATGTCCTTTCCTTGCTGCGAGGATAATTGGATGCCAGTCGTGTACAACTGGAGGAGCGGGTGGGATTCCGGCGCGGAGTAACCGGCGCACGCAGGGTAGCTTGCCTTTTTCTGCAGCCCAGTGGAGACTGTCACTTTCGGGGTATCGAATCTGGGATTGTTCGAATACTGGACGGAGGTTGCGGTCGAGTTCTTCGCTGGCGAGATCGTAGAAGAGTCGGTTGGTGTGGGATAATGCACAGAGATCAATGTTGTATTCCACGTGTTTGATTATTTCCTGGAGGATCTCCGCGGGGAGGTCGGAGAGTCGGGGCATTGTAATGAGTGGGTCTGATGCTGTCACTCGACTGTATAAGTAGAGAGGATAAAAGGGGGAGAGGTTTGTTGAGTGACTCAGGCAGCTTATGGCGGCAGCTTAGTGCTTAGCTAGCTGCGAATAGGGAGTGAAGATGCGAGATTATGCGAGATCAGGTGATCGTCACTACATAAGATCGAAACCTTCCCGGTAAAATTGTAGCTAATCATGCATAAAACTTAGGGGGCATCGGATTATCAATTCCTTCTTGAACACGCTCTCAATACTTCACGATACTCCGTACTTCAAGCATTTTTTTACTTTTGGGTTCATAAAGCCAAATTGATGGCAAATTGTCAAGAATCCCTTGATGGTCTAGTTGGTTATGGCGTCCGGCTGTAATGGTTCATTGTCACCGGAAAATCCCTGGTTCGATTCCGGGTCGAGGGACTTATTTTTGCCAAATTCTTATTCTAAAAACCGATGTCTGACCCTCACCCGCAATGTAACATTCACGAACGACTGAAACTCTCCTAATATACGCCTCAATCAGGCTACACTTCCGGCCCACCTCTAATTGGCCCCCAACAAACGAAGATGGATAATCTCCAATCGCATCATATCATATCAGCCCATCCAATACCCATCCATCAAGAAAGCCTTCCAGCGCCTACCAAATGAATCCATCTTGGCACCTAACGCCACCATAATAATCTCCCCCAAGGAAGGGAACGTGGCGCCCGCATCCCACGGAACCCAACCCAACCCCTACCCTTACCCCAATCCCGCGCATCTAGACCGGCCTCCATCTCCTCACAAACACGAATGCAGATATGATCTAATCATGACTCGGCTTACTCTTGTCCAATCTTTGTCTAACCCCTATCCATCTACATATATATCCTCTCTAATGCCTCAAGCCCAAGATACCATATCAACCCAATGCACACCCCACAAACCCTCATACCAAACCCAACCCCAACTTATCCCAACCCAAACCAAACCCGAATCAGATCAAAAAAGGAAAAATGTACCGCCCCATCCTCCGCCATCCCCTAAAACACCACCTAATCCAAACCCCCACCAAGCCCACCAAATACGACATCATCATCATCGGCTCCGGCCAAGGCGGCACGCCACTAGCCCGCGCCCTCGCGGACGCAAAATTTAAAACTGCGCTGATTGAACGCGAACATATTGGGGGTTGTTGTGTGAATGAGGGATGTACCCCGACTAAGACGATGATTGCGTCGGGGAGGGTGGCGTATTTGGCTAGGAGGGGGTGGGATTTTGGGGTTCATCTATCTGGTCAGGGACGTGGAGGTGGGGAGGGAGGGGGAAATGTGGAGATGGAGAAGGTGAGGGAGAGGAAGAGGGATATTGTGAGGGTGTTTCGGGCTGGTAGTGAGAAGAGATTGAAGGATGCAGGGGTGGATGTGTTGATGGGGGAGGCGAGCTTTGTGGATGCGAAGACGATGGTGGTTGTGGATGGGGAGGGGGGGGAGAGGGTGGTTCGTGGGGAGAAGATTGTGATTAATACGGGGTGTCGGCCGGCCGGGGCAGTGTTGGAGGGGCTGGAGAAAGTTGGGAAGGAGAGGGTGTTGGATTCGACGTCGATTATGGAGTTGGGGGTCGTGCCGGAGCATTTGGTGGTGGTTGGAGGTGGGTACATTGGGGTGGAGTTTGGCCAGTTGTTTCGGAGGCTTGGGGCGAAGGTGACCATCGTGCATCGCGGCGGGCAGTTGCTTCCCCGCGAGGATCGAGAATTAGCGGATTTGTTGGGTGAGATTCTGAGGAAGGATGGGGTTAAGGTGTTGTTGGAGACGACGCCGATTAGGGTTGTGGATGTCTCGGATGAGGGGTTTGATGTGATGGTCTCGACGAAGAAGGGAGATGAGATTGTGAAGGGGGCGACGCATATCCTGTTTGCCACCGGACGTGTGCCGAATACTGAGCGGTTGAATGCGGCTGCGGCAGGAGTCAAGTTGAACAATAAGGGATATGTGGTGACAGACGATTTTCTACAGACTTCGGTACCGTTCATCTATGCCATTGGAGATGTCAAGGGCCCGCCGGCGTTTACGCATATTTCGTTCGATGATTACCGTGTGCTCAAGTCATCTTTGCTGGAATCGGAAGGGTCTGGTTCCAGACTCTCGATTACAGATCGCATCGTTCCATACGTCGTCTATACGGATCCCCAGTTTGGGCACGTTGGACTGCACGAGCATGAGGCGCGGGAGAAGTATCCAAACAAAAAGATCCTGACGGCACAGATGCCGATGAGCTATGTCGCTAGGGCATTGGAGACAGACGAGTCACGAGGCGCCATGAAGGCGGTGATCGATGGGGAGAGTGGATCGATTCTGGGATTCTCGTGCTTCGGTGCAGAAGGTGGTGAACTGATGAGTGTCGTGCAGACAGCAATGATTGGAAATCTGCCTTATCAGAAGCTACAAGATGCGGTTTTTGCACACCCGACCTTTGCGGAAAGCTTGAACAACCTGTGGGGTTTTCTAAAATGAGGTCCTCTTTCAACACTAATAACTGTTGTATTTTTCTGGTAAGCTCTAATGAAGCTAACTTCACAGTCCGTAACCCATTGACATATAGCACTAAGCCTTCGGGAGATATTCCTTCTTCAAGGGTGCCAGACCCACATGGATATCGTACGACTCTTGATCGAAAGATCCAAAGTCAAAGGCGGCGTAGAAATTGCTCAACCAGTACTGCCCAATGATCGTGTTCTCGCTACCCCAGGGAATAAAAGGAGGGAAGCAGTGGTCGTCGTCCTGATAGCCCGGAACGGCCAACTGGTCGCCAGTAAGGTTGAATGTCACGCCTTCGCCGTAGAATCCAAGCGTAAACGACATGGACCATGTCTCGTTGAACTCAGAGCACAAAGGTCGGTATCCGGACGAGATGGCGGAATAGTTCAATGGCGTCAAAGCGTACCAGTCGTCGATTTGGTCCTCGGGAACGTTTATAGACCCAGCGCCTATGCCTCCATTAGCGGGGGTGACATTCTAAAAAGGAGCATTGGCCAGAATTCTCACCAGTATCGAAAATAGCGTTGCCATACAGAGTCAAAACATCACTCGACCAGTTCTGGCCATTGGAACTGTTGTGCCCCTGCAGTCCCATGAGGGGGGTCTTGTAGATCTCGAATGGGGACAACATCTCCATCCATTGCAGCTCACCTTCTGCATAGGTGTCTTCGTGACTGCCACCAAAGGTAAACACGCCATTGTTCTCCGGATTCGGGTTGGCCATGGTTGATACTCCTGAGCCTTGGTAGATGCCAAAACGGGGCTTATCCAACAGGCCATCTTGCATCATCTGCTCGAAAGGAGCAGTCGTGTTTCTGAATGCGATGGAGCTAGATGCCAGGCCCAGGAACCCATCGGCTGCCAAAGCTGTCCACGTACTGTCGGTGATGACGGCAAAGCTTTGCCGATAGGACACGTTGGTGTTGGGGACCGTGAAGATATCTGTGGCCGCGTAGCCGCTGATGCTGCCTCCCGTGTACTCATTGGTGTCATTGACGCCCAAGTTCACGCCGGTTGAGGTCAGATTGTACCCGTGTCGGGGATATCTGGGATGCTGGTTAGCAGAGGCTTGGATAGATGGGTTAATGAGTTTTACCCGCTCACGTTGATACACTCGGTCGTACAATCGCTGTCCAGTACCCATAGGGTGGACGATCCAGTGTCGTACAGCACATCAAATGGACCGCCCGGGGTTCCCAAGTCCACCTCGATTGTTCTCTTCATATTGTTAATGAAAGCATAATGATGACAACAGGACACCACATACATAGCCGTTTCTGACCTTGATATCCAGGTCCAGTACACTCCCGAGAGCGGCCGTAGCCAACGCCGGAACAAGCAGAAGGAAGCGGGAAGCCATGATGGACGATTGATATTGAGTGAGGATGAAGAACTGGTACCGAACAGGCTGGGTTCTTATAAGTCCCCAGGGGCGTTCCTGCATATCGGAAGTGCTGTCTCCGAGCACATTGTGAGACAAGTGACGATGGTGGACCCGGACGGCGGATGCCGTTGGTTGAATGCCGTGCCGCGTGAGACAGGTTTCATTCTATTTAGAACATCAAGACTTCAATTAGATTAGACTATAAGCACAGACGCCTTCTGCAGTCACTCCATTGTGGCGAACAATTGGTAGCAGCAGTGACTGCCAAGATCAACCAGGTCCATTCTTTTGCCATCGCTGTGGGGCAGCGTCGGCTCTCTAGCGGATGGCAGAAATTAGCCTTAACAAGACTTGCGAATGGGACCTGCAACATAGCCCCAGGCACGACTGAAGATATGGGTCGGTCGAGCCATTTTTATGGGGTTAGTCTGGTAAAGGATGATGCCTTCCGCTCAATGTTAGGCTTTTCTCGGCCCAGATCGCCCCCTTTTCGCAACCGGCTACGCCTCCAGGGATCTATCTCCCCTGTTACGACGATGCTGGTGTTATCAATTCGCTTGAGGCGATTCATCAAGGAATGACCCCTGGATCACCAAAAATGGCCGTTGTTGACAACGAGACTGCATTCTTATGGACAGATCATGACGCATTTATATTCATCATTTCAGGTTACTATTGCTAACATATCGGATAAACCTGGATCCAACCATCGACCAGCACGGAGATAATATAATACCTTAAGATGTTGGGGTTGCGCCGGGCGGCACATGATATAGACAACCCCTATCCAATATTCAACAAAGACACCGTCACAACAGACCTAAGCCCTAGCATACGATGTCGGCCGAACCGCAATATCCTTATAAGCCACCACTCCCGTCTCCAAGGTATCAGTGATATTCGTAGCCAGCGCATCCGCGAGATCCTTCAAGTCACCGGCTGGAATTCGGGCCACGACACTCCCACTATAAGTCAAAGCAGCAGTATGTTCTTCCTGCAGCTGCGAGTAGATATACCACCCCTCATCGGCGACAGCAATCAGATCATGGATACTGATGTAATCGTTTACTGCGGTGGTGAACTGCACGGTGAGCTTCTCCAGCGGGGGGATCACGGCGGTCGCTTCGGTGGTATTCAGGAAGTACGACTGGATCGCTTTCGTCTCGGCAAGAAGCGTATTGATCAAGCCGGCAGCCCCGGCGGTGATGTTGGAGATGTCGCCGCCAGGGTAGGCGATGATGCTGGAGTCGAGGGTGTCGATTTGGGCGCTGATGGCTGCGAGGCCTGTAGTGAAGGTGGATGGATCACGGCTGGTGATTTTGACGGAACGAATCGTGGGGCCTGGAGTGGCGAGGGCGCTGGCAATGGTGCCAAGAGTGAGCCCGTATGAGGCTATGTTGAGTCTCATGGTAGCAAAGGTTGGCTTAGGCTGCTGAGGAGGGGCGGGCAAGAAGATATGGGTGGCAACAGAAGTAAAGTCTAACAGTGGTCAGGGCATCTTGTCCACTATTTATGCAACCAGACGCGGGTGACAATGAAGGAACCTTTTCACTTCCCCTCGCAGGATTCTGCACACATCGTATGTCCAGAAAAGGCCGAGAAGGTACAAGTTTGGGCATGTCCAAAGAAGCTAGAGCGAAGTCCACAAGGGTCTAGATTGTCCGAGGAGTCCAATGAGACTTTGCTGCCATGGGCATGCAAGACAACAAAGAACAGGGAAGAGAGTGGGGTTGCATGAATAGTCCCTAGTCTAGTTAACAAGAGGATTAGCTGGTCCGTTTAGCCTAAGCCGAGCTTAGTGGTTTAAATCTCTCAGGCGATAGACCTTGGTCGGCTCGGGCACTCATGCCAGTTTTTGAAGGAACGATCATGCTACTGAAAGGAATGAATCAAGCCTTGATCGAGCTAAAGGTGATGATCTGACTTGCGATCTCATTTTCGAAGGGCAATGCAATCCCGTTATGTTGCCTCGCACACCTATTCTTAACATGCATGGAACAGTGTTTCAAGTCTGAGTTCGGGCCCACTAGAATCTACTTAACAGTCTACCTCGCAGTTACATGCAGCTTTAGCTTCACATCTATTAGAAGATCAAGAAAAAGAAAAACAAAAACATACAACAGAAGGGATTCGCTGGTGGTCACCCACCCAACTACTAACCTCCCGGCGTGTGGCTTAAGTACGGCTGAGCGGACGGGAAGCCCTGTTCTCCACACCCTATGGTCGTATGTGCTGGATTTATCCAAAGGCAGATTCATATCCTTTATTCTGCTTACTGAGCAAACAGCGTTTGTAAGGACAAAGTGATGCCATTTCCGTAGGCATCAGGCTTGGTAGGTAGCTAAACACCTGATCAAGGCTTCTGGAAATATTTGGCCACGGAGCAGCCTAAATATGGCTCGTTACGGGAGCAGAAACAATTGATCAGGCACTTAGCCCTAAGAAAGTTGGTTGCTTCCTACCGTGATACGGTGCTTCACTGCTTATAATCCTCGCAGAACCGTTATTGTAGCTCTCGTCCTACATTGGAAAACATCCTATCGGCATTTCCACTACCGGTAGGATCCCTGCAGGAGCTGATGTAAGGGCGCTAACTGACCGCCGCATCTTCATCCGTTGCTAGGGGCTGTGCTTTCACATCATCTTACATGTTCATTATCTTCCCATCTATTTGATGCGATACTCGAAATGAAGAAAGTCGTCTCGAAGATGAAGCGTGCTTTGCACCTAAGGTCATCTACACTGGATTCTAGAGCTAAGGTCGTCGATTCAGCCACGCATCCTGGATGTGCCGATCAAGCACCAATCCGTGAGGATTCCAGGAAACAGTTTGTTTTTTGCGATCCGCCTCAATATGCGCTTCCGGAAGCTCTTCCGCCCGAGATCCGCTATCATATCATGTCCATGTTGGACCTACACGGGCTTGAAGCCTTAGTTCATGCGTCCTCTGTCTATTATCGTCAATATTCGATAGACCGTAAGCGCTTACTGGCCAAGTGCTTAGCCACGACATTGCAAAGCGTTGCTCTCGATGCGTACCTTGTATACGAATCTGGCTCGATCAAATTTTCCAGAAGCCGCAATCCTGAAGCCGTCACCAAGCTGCTTGGGTTCTACGAGGGGCGCCGCGCTTTGTCCGAGTACCCCTTAATGAGCGAAGAGCTCACCACAGACGAGGTTTCAAGTATGGCGACGTTTCATCTTTCATTAATACAGCCCCTTGTACAGCGATATACCGTCTGGGCGTTGAGCAATCTAGCGCATGAACCTGAAGGACTGCAAAGCGATGCATCGCTCAGTACGACGGAGGAGTTACGAATCTTGCGTTCCATGTATCGCTTCCAGCTATGTTGTAACCTTTTCGGCGTCGGCTGCCACGGGACGCCATTCAGCCCAAGATCAGACTTCGACTCCGTGGGCATTTTGAGATTTTTCTTGTCGATATTCGAACCCTGGGAGGTAGAGGAGATCGCGTGCATCTACGCCTTTGCAAAAGAAAGGTACGACGAAGTCTTTGATGATATTCGTTGGGATGTACACGAAGAGAACCCCAAGTTCGATGGACAGCGACCGCCCACCCCAGATGGTGCATTTGATTTTGACAACAGCTGTAAGTAGCATCTGATATCACGTCCCCTATCAGTAAGATGACGATCGGATGTAACTAATAGAGATAACTCAAAGGGATAAGGCATTGCCTCCTCATTGGAACTATTTCCCGTGGCCTTAAGCTCCTGCACACCGTGCTCTTCAAGATCGAGAATCACGAGCACTTGGTGTCGACCATGCAAGACCGGATTGCTTGGCCTGCCGGCAGTTTCCTTGAGGGTGAGGCCCTAGGAGAGACTGCGCAGATCATGCGGCGCAATCGGCACCCTTCCCCTCGGGACTCGAAAGAGGAGAGGCGCGATCCGTTGCCTTTTCAAGGTGATGGGCTGCATGATGTGCATCCCCCATTAGCATGGACATTGATATGGCGCGGCACCTATAGTAACCTGTTTGGTCACTACATGGAGGACTCGATGCGGCGCTGGGGGTACGTGATGTGGGATGCGGCGCGTTTGGAGCGCTCTGGGGGGAAGGACGTCTTGAAGCGCCAGTGGAAGGCTGTGTGGGGGGGGGTGATGACCCGAGAGATCAGATATGATGGAAGGGATGGGAGGGGCCCGGGGAAGGATATGACATCGCGATGCTTGCAGGGTTTTTTTCCCGACTGCATCAGCCGGGGGGGTTCCAATCACACATATGCATTTCTCTACCATAATAGTAGCTTCTTTCCTCCGATATACCTGTAGGCTACGTGAAATAATACAGCGAGGGTGGGCAAGAGAAGGGCCCTCCCTAGACACCGTCGGTCCGGCGTGGGGATGACAGAACCGTAAAGTAGGTGCGTATAACATGAAATCTATACGCCCAAATATTAAGCGACGATGAAGCATGACTCATGCGGCTCAAGGCATGGAACGAATATCGTAATGATGACCATATGCCAAGCGCAGACGACATGGAGGTGACAGGCGTGAGTCACCGTGGTAGTCATATGAGCTTAAAGCTCTCGACGCCGGATACTCTTACCAATTCACTATCTTCACCTTCACTCTGCCTCTCTACTCACAACTTACAATTTCTATTCTCATTTAAATCATGGCCTCTCTATCAACAGCATCTGACCAGATGGACGGCAACAACACATCCAACACTCCTCCAATTTTTCAGACCACCATCTCCAGCCTCAAAGACCCCTCCGCTTCCAGCACCCTTTGGTATCGAATTCATGTTCTCATCTTCGACCTCCAGAACTTCAACACCCCCTCCTCCAACAAGCGCCTCGAAAAGGTCGTAGATCCTTCCTTCGTTGGCAAACCATACTTCTCTCCCGAAGAAGCCGACAAGATCAAACAAACCGTCGTCGACGCCAACGGCAAGACCTTCTCGCAAATGGTGGAAGAAGCCCTCAACGAGCGCCTAGAACGGCGGCAGAAGAAACGTGTCGAGAGCGGCGACTTTCGCGTCTGCGCGGCTCACGATCTGGCTCCCATCATGGGACGCGCCCTGGGTATCGATCTGAAGCAGATGGAGAAAGACAAGGAGTTTGCGACGTTAGCAGAGACCAAGGGCCTCTGGCTAGGAGGGGAAACCTGGGGTGGACTGAAAAAGAAGTCGTTTTCTCCGAAGAAGAAGAGACGATAGGAGCTATAGGCCACGGCTGCCTTGTCGCGACAATTTTCGAGGGCCTGCGGTCGCGGATGTATGTCCTTCTCCTCTGGCAACACGGACGCCACCACTTATTCCGACCTGAGCAATCAAGACCTAGTTCCATATCATCTCGCTCTATCGCTACACTGCACGCATGCGCTCGATAACAAAGTACGGCGCAGATTACAGCCACCATCCCATTAGCCTTTACCTTCCTCAATACAACCAGGCCGCTTCAGATCGGGAAGTTACTCCATATATCACAATCCAGTACACATTTGAAAAGTTTCGGTTCTGTCTATTCAAAATCCCCGATAGAATAGTTGCTGCAGGTTTACTTCCCACCTAGTAAGGCTCTTGTAGTAGAAAAGAGTTCCACTGTCAGTGAAGATGACCGGCAGCTAAACATGACAGGCCGCGTAGTCCATCCCGTTCAAGTGGGCTATACCATGTATACTATGCCCTTGCCTGGGCAGTGGCGTAGTATAGGGTATTTTAGAGCGCTTGGGGAAACTATGATGGTAGATAGGGCGATACCATTTTAATGCAGAATCGCTTGGCCGCTTTTCTAGATGCGCGACCGGAGGCATAGGTCCTGGATAGAGTGGTGCCGTCTTTGTCTTGTACCCCTTCGAGCCATCCTTTTGAGAGGCGGAACTAGGACTATGGCCTTCCTGCCTGGGGATTGGAGAACCGCGACGGTAATGACTGTGCGGTCACTGGGTTTACCTCCAGACGCCCGGCGCAAACGACGACATGACCAATGTTAACGTGACACACGGGACTGGCGGTGTAATGTACTGGAAACTTCCAGATGCCCTTACCAGAGCGGCTGATGGAGGGTGGGTTTCAGGGAATTATGGTGAGGAAAGCGTCGGATAAAAGGGCCAGGATGATCTACCTTTTGCGTGCAACCCCCTCATCTTCGTTCTAGGGCCCAGTCTACACTAGATTAGAAGATGTTCCCATACCTACTTCATGAGGCGCGTATGCTTTACCCCACATCGATTGTACAAACCTGCAGAACAGCGGTCGAGGCTGCCCACGATGGGCATTTACATGGACTTCCCCCGTCAGACAGAATAAATAATGCTTCTTCACTCGCCTATGGATATCAGAGCATGGTCCCCCAGTCACTTCATTTGTATATAGCTATACCTAACCCCCTATAGTGAGTCATTTGGCATCATCATTCATCGCCTAGCGCTATGTGATGATCTCAATATTTCTGTGACCTGTAGTGAATTCCTGGGAAGAAGTCACCAGTTTTTATCGGACTGCGGTGATTAACACCTTATTCACTGAGGTGTAAATGTGGGTATTCACTGTTTCCCCAAACTGACATCTTTGCGTGTTGGGGTTGCTATTTCACCTATCCTTCTAGGACAACATCAACCTCTTGAGAGTATCTTTCCCCTCAGTCAGCTCAGTCCTCTCATACAATATTTCCACATACTCATGTTAAACATCGAATAGGATCTACCAGCCCTGGGATTACAACCAGAGCAACTCTTATCCAGTTGCATCCAAAGTCATCATAGCTGGTACCTGTTGGACAGCATTGCGACTGTTTCTCTTAACTTAGCCCCCTCCTTCTTGACGCTTCCTCTAGCTCCTCACCCACGCGTAAGTGATGCGCTCCTTGCCGTCTGCACTGTACAACGGCTAATTCAAGGTTGATATATATAGAGGGTCCAGGCGGTCTGAATAAACCGTCACAGTAGCGCACCAGTCACGACTATGGCGAATAGAAAATGGATGTTCCTGCTCGAGGAGATGGATAAGAAGGACTTTAACCTTCACCATGAGGAACTCGATACTCGTGGTGTCGAGGGGCTTAGCTTTGCCAAGATCCTGGCTTTCGTTGGACGCCCGCACACTAATCCGGAAGATTTCATTTTCTTCATCTTTTCTGACAGCATGAAAGCTGCAGTGCAGTTGCTTACAGACCGCAGCATTCTCCTGACGTATAGGATGTATTGCGAGTACGACAGCGCGATCACAATTATAGTTCGCCCAGTGTCCAATCCGTCTCCGAACTCTAGCCAGTGTCCAAGCGCTCCAGAGTCACTCCGCCAGAGACGGAAAGTGAGTGGGAAAAGGGATCTCCAGAGCGTTTTCGTCCGCCCGGTTACACAGAGCGATACTAAAAACTTGGATGCCGAGACCCTAACTCCAATCAGTGACCTGCCAGATAACCAGAAGGTGGTTCTGGACCTCGGCAAGGGACATTACGAGACCTTTTCTATTTCGTACCTGCTAGGTAAACCCCTTGCCTCTTCCGAAGTCAGGCAAAGCCCAATAAACATCGCTAACCTTTATGTACAGGATGGATCATGGCAGAAGCCGAGAAGGGAACCCTTCTGCACGATATCATTGTCACGAGCATCACCCCTAAAGGCCGCCCATCAAACATACGATTAGATAAGGACATCTGGACCAAGAGTCTGTTGCGGGGTCCGGGAAAGGCCCAGTTCCTGGAAATCTGGACAAAGTATTCCGAATCAGCCATGCTAAGAACAGATGCGCTTGAAAAACTCTACCGGGACTATCAGTATTTCGAAACCAACTCGAAGGTGTTCATCAAAGATTTGAAACTTTTTGGCTCAAAGCCGGACGCGAGGGCACGCCTTCTGACCACCAAGCACCGGTACTTTCTAGGAGAACCGTATTTTTCGTCCGCCTTGGTGGATCAGATCCTGGCATTACCCTTGCAGCCCACCAACGTGCAAGGACACCTGGATGCCTTGATGAGAAAGAAGGCCGAACGAGGACAGGAGGAGGAGCTATGTGCCTCCCACGATCTCGCACCTGTGTTCCTACGAGCATTCCATCTGGATTGGGACAGAATTAAGAAGCAGAATCTGACGATCATGCGAATCAAGGATCCAAAGGAAATTAGGAGACGCCCTACTATGGAGACATTGGGCAAGGCGTTCTCAAAGTTGGGTGTTAAAAGTGACTCTAAAGACCAGAAAAAGCCTTCGAGATGAATTGATATCTCTATCAGAGGGAGTTGGTTGCGATGGCCGTGATTTTTTTCTTTTGTTTCTCTTTCTTTTTTCTCATTCTTTTTTCTTCTTCCTTTTTCTTTTTTTTTTTTTTTTTTTTTTTTTTTTTTTTTTT